TACACCCAGGTTACAAACTTAACTATAGTATTTGTAAAAGGCAGGTAAAATGAGGCAGCATATGAATGAAGCCTGACAAAGTGCATTGACAAAGTAATTATGCAACTTCATGAATGAGCAATTCATGAACTAAATTTTCTATTGAATGAAAGTATTCTATGAATGGTACAGTGTGCTAAAGTGTTGATATTCTTCATAAAGTTTCTTTTCACTAATGAAGTTAATTCCTTATGGTAACCACAAGTGATTTTTCCTAGCATTCTTTGGAAAGTTGCAAGGATTACTTTCACTTTCCTACATACTGAGCACTACAACCCTGTATAGGCAATTTCAGAATGCAAATAAGTGAGCGATCTTGAAAGAGGCTGGTGCATGCATAGAATTATTATGCAGGTGACGGCTCTGACTATGTATGCTAGTTGATGTTTCTTGCTACCGATCATCGTTAATGGTCATGCATGATTGGCCGTGAAACAAGGATATGGAAAGTAGCAACCACTTTAAGGTCATTCTTTCCTGAAGCAAAGCGATAAAAAAAAACTGGGCAATAAATTTATTCCACTTTGGGCTGTCATGGTTTACTTCACAGATGAGTATCATTCAAAAGTGATACTGTATCTTTAAAAAAATTGCATAGCACATTGAAAGGACGGTAAAAATAATTTGCAGTTGCACAGAGTTTTAACAGAAAAAGTGGAACATAACAAACACTACATGCAACACTTTGTTTCAGCATGCTACAAATGCAACTGCTATGTCACTCATTTACCATAGGTTAAAAGTTGCAGTGCAGTTATTTATAACCTTCTACATTTGCAGAAAAAAAAAATGACTAAGCATCCAGTCCCAGAGAAAAGGCAAGGAAGAACTATCAGTAACATGTTGCAAGCAAAATCGCCAACAACAAAAATACATGTTTCTTACAGATACACCTTAGTGCAGTAAGTTACCTCGCACAATAAGTAATTTATCAAGCTCGCTTTTTAGGAATATCCTACAAGGCATACCGTTGTAAGCTCAAACTTTTTTAAAACTTCCCTGGAGCGGTCATTGCTGAGAAAAATGATTGACAGTTTACCAGAAATTCTATAACTTCATTCATTTTTACCACACTAGCCCAAGGGCCGATAGAGAAAGAAATCTAGAATTTAGCATCGAGTATGTAAGCATGTTCACATTAGGTAGATAGTGGCCAGCTAATTAAGGTACAATTTATGTCAAAGTAAAAAAAAGACATGTCACGACCATTAAAGCTCGAATTTCAAAGTGAAAATACCATTACATGATATCTCCTGATAATCTAAAACAAGCTCAGTTGCAAGTGAGCAGCGTTATATTTCTTACTTCACCATTCACTTGAATGAGTTGCTTTTACATACAGATGGTGCTGTGGTTACATTTTGCTCAAGTCACTGTAATGAATTAAGTAAAACAGATGCCGTACTTTACATCAAATGCAAGCAGTTTAGGTAACCACAATATATTTACTACATCTTCAGTTCTTGAAATGAGCTGTCAAATGAATCCTATTACACAATATAAAATGGGCCAATGGCATAGAATTCCTTTAGCAATTCAACAGAAAATTTTAAAGGTCAGGACATGAAAGATTAAAGCAGAATGCCTTTGGGCGACTTTATACATTGCTACGCAGGCACCAGTGAAGTTACTACATTAAGTACTACACTGCGTACAAGACATAGCGCATAGTTACAACACTAAATTTTGGACCCTATTTTCACCTTCTGAATGGGATACAGTTAATGTAGACCTCCTGTTCATCGAACACAGTAATGTCAGAAACGTGAAGTTCTCAGCAAAATCCAACCAGTTTCATAATTGTGTTCATGTGCATATGTTGTCCAAGCACGAAATGAAATTCACTTGTAGTATTACATTGACGAGATGTCAAGAAGTTCTGTACGGTCAAAAACACTTTCATTTTCTGTACCTTAGTTGCCATGGAATAATAACTTAACAGGTAAAGAAAACAGGGCAATTCAAAATTCTGCCACTTGCAAATAAAATGGCACAACAGCAGCCTCAATTCACTGACAAGCGATACTCTTGAAACATTAGTTAGCATACATTATAAGACTATGAATCGCAGGACATGAATCACAGAAACAGTCCAGTAACCCAGGTACAGACATATGGCAAGACGCCAGTGATTTATTTCTGTGCAACAGATTTAATCACCAATGCGACATGAACTATCATTGATGATGCAACCAATTTCGAAATTTTTGTGACATAATGGTTAGCCTATTTTCAATGTCCACTGTAGGATCACTCAAAAGCAATCCGTAATATATTGGAAACCATTTTCAACTCAGCAACAACAAAATAGTTTTCAATGCTATGTCCCTACAGTAAACACCATTTGTTACAGTGATGCTAAACATCATGAGGACTGTTCAAAAGTTATGTTATTAAAAAGGCACATTATATGAGCCACTGCTCGTCAAGAAGTGTTGAGACATCCAACAATGTGCTGTACTTGCACAAATCCACTCAACATTTCACCTCTTGGCAAATGCCTCTTTGCAGCACCGATGGGCTAATAATGCCTGGCATGCATAGCCTCAATTCATTTTCCCATCTTCATCATTCTCGCTGTCATCCATGGTGCTGGCTTTGAACTAGGGGCACTGCCATGATGTGACCTTCCTCATTTTGGTGGCAATGATTAGAATCCCAAATTATCCCAGAAGATGTACAAGATGCCACAATGGAGGCTCTGAGACAAGTGTGACCACCCGATTTCTTAGAGAGGTACCAAATACTTTTTCCATAATCCTAATAAATGTTTCAAGTATTATAGTTATCTGAAAAGAAAAAAAAGATGACCTTATTTTTAAGTCTGGCAGTCTCACACTGCCAGTTTTCCACAAGGTACGTCTCTCGCCAAGGACTATGTAAGTAGAACCCAGCTGTTACCTTCCTGACTGTTCCATTTTCTTCGCTGTTACGCTGTTTTTCATCAGTCCCAGTATGGCTCCCATAAAATCTCATGCATTGTGAACATCGCTGTTGCGTCAAAACTGTGAGCCCGTTCCTGCATGTTGCCTCGCAACCTAGTCCGCCAAACACGCCTGGGCACCGCCATTTAGATTTTACGTTTCACAGTCTTGGCCTGGCTTGGCTATGGAAAAGGCTGCAAGAAGCCACAGGGGAGTTGGAGAGACCGCCCCTAGATGGCCATTTGTGAAAAGTGTTATCAACAACATCACTGTGCTTACAACGGAAGTTTCACTACAAAATGCCGGAAATGTGCGACAGTCAATCTTCATATGAAACTACCGCCGCACGTTTGTGACTCGTCTTCAATCGCTGTTGTGTGCGCTAAGCCTGTTGAATACCGTTAAAATTGTCATTGCAACCTTCGTGAAGCCTTAATGGCATCGCTTAAGCAAAAAGCGCTTCTCTTGAGCAAAAGCTGGACGTATTTAAATATATGGACAAGCAGCCAGTGCGAAAAAGGGTCGACATTGCCAAAGACCTTAGACTGCCACAGTCAATGCAGAACAGCTTTGTCTCGAAGCAAGCAGAGATTGAAGGGAATGCCACTCTCTTCAGCCCAAAAGCCCAGCAAGCTCGTGGCACCAAGCACGAGAAACTCGATGAGGCTCTTCTGACCTGGCTCAAGCAAGCTCGCACTACGGGTATTAACTTCGACAGCAGTATTTTAAGCACGAAAGTGATGGAAATAGCCGATGGACTGGGCGTCGCTGTCTTTTCAGCCTTAAATGGCTGCATTGACCATTTCCGCAAGAGGCACATCATCGCTTCCAAGATGGTAAGAGGAGAAGCGGCAAGTGTGAATGTGGAAACAATCGATGATTGGAAGTCCACACTATGTGCTTTAATTGAGGAGTTTGAGCGCCGTGACATTTACAGTGCTCACGAAACGAGCCTCTTCTTTCGTGCGCAGCCATCCAAAGTCTTAAGCCTGAAGAGCGAAGCGTGCCACGGAGTCAAATGCAGCAGACCGGCTGACGGTGCTCCTTTGCTCCAACATGGATAGCTCGGACAAACTAAAGCCGTGCGTGATCAGAAATTATAAAAACCTATGGTGTTTGAAAAACATTCACCTGCTGCCATGCAAGAAGTAACAGTCCTGCGTGGATGACCTGCACCTTGTTTGAACAGTTTCTTTGATACTTGGATAACAAGATGGGTTCAGAGTGCACGAGGGTTCTCCTTTTCCTGGACAATCGTGCTGCCCACTCGATAGATCTGCCATTTCTTGGAAACATCTAATTTGTTTTGTTTTTGCTCTAATACGACAAGCTACTTGCAGCCGTTGAATGCCGGGTTCGTAAAATGCCTGAAACGTTCATACAGAAAAAGCATCGTCAAGCGCTGTCTAGCACGCATTGATTCTGTACAGTAGCCTACGGCAATTTCTGCACACGAAGCCATGCACTACATCACTTCAGCGTGGAGTGGAGTGAGCGCTTCAACTGCACAGCACTGCTTTGCGAGGTATGGCTTCCGTATAAAAGGCAAAGCTCAGCAATCAAAAGCAGCCCCTAGTGAGAAAGAGCTCAAAGAGGCTATAAATGCGCTCGGTGCTACGGGTACCACGTATGACGACTACGTCACTGTGGATGCTGCCGTCGTGATGTTGGAGTACCAAAGCATCACAAAGATCGTTGCAAACTAGATTGTAAGTGATTGATTGATTGATTTGTGGGGTTTACCATTCCAAAACCACCATATTATTATGAGAGACGTCGTAGTGGAGGGCTCCGGAAATTTTGACCACCTGTGGTTCTTTAACGTGCACCCAAACCTGAGCACACGAGCCTACAACATTTCTGCCTCCATCGAAAATGCAGCCGCCGCAGCCGGGATTCAATCCCGTGACCTGCCGGTCAGCAGCCGAGTACCTTAGCCAACAGACCACCGTGGCGGCGCTAGATTGCAAGTGACGCTGGTGTCTGCGATGACAACGATGAGCATGAGCCTCACGGTTCTCAATAATTGCCATTGGAGTCAGTCGAGCTCCGCACTACCTTTGCAGGTATGTCACACATCAAAGCGATGCTGAAAGCAATGCGGCCTTCCAGATTATTGAGGAACGTGTGGTGCTTACCAGCGAGCAAAAGAATCGGCAGTCAACTATCCTCAAATATTTCAAGTCTTAGGCTTACCTTGCCGAAATAAATTGTTTCTAACCAAACAAGCGCCTGTGCTTTCATTCATTTTCAGAGCTTTTCTCATTCTTGCGTTTTCTCGACTGTTAGGTGTTTTTTTCCCCCCTCCCCTGGAAAACGTATTAACGAGGTTCCACTGTACTTCATTTGCCCAGCACCAAGCAGGAAACGTGCTTGTAGCTATTATTTGACTGGTAGGCACCCAACAGCAGCATCAATTCTCCATCTGTCGCAGTAGCTGCTCACAGTAGCTAAACTATTTCACCAAGGCAGTGGTAGGCTAAGGCACGCCCAGTGGCCTATACAGAACTTTATGAAGCCACCATTAAATTTAAAAAAAAAAAACATTTTCCATGTTCCTGGTTTCGTATCCGCAGAATTTTGGTATCAGGCTGTTTTTCTACGTCCCTACACCTACCGATTCTCTCTATGTGAGCGCTTAGCATACACGCGATATTGCACAGTCGGATGTCTTCAAGCAAGTGAGAATGCCTGTACAGATTGTGTGAAAACTATTTTCTGGATGCCCGGAGCAATATAGTAGATGCACAATTCGTAGCGTACACTTTACTTGCACTCTCCAATTGTCACTGGCTACGAGAAATTTCATGACTTATGCTACATTTCAATAGACACTTTTTAAGATTACTTCGACACTGATTAGTGTAATGACTATAGGCACACATTATACCGATAGCATTTACTAAGCTCAAGTTAGGATGGGTCGAACTTCTACACAGGTGAGTTTCCATGCACTTTTTTCAAATGTTCATCACTTCTAGTCTCCTGTATGGACACAAATATTGGGCTACATCTGACACGAAAATAACTTTCTTGTATTGAACATTCATTATAAGTGTTACATTGCTATAGTGGCAAGGCATCTTTAATTTAGTAGTTCATTACATTTAGTCATTCATTATAGATATTCATTATCCTGATGTTCAACTTAACAGATTAGAGACAATACCTTAGCATTTTCATTCTCAAATGGCCTCCCATAATACTCTTTAAACAAAGCTCTAACGAGCGGGAAATCACTTCAAATGAAAAACACATCAGTCCCTGCCTATTTGGTGCGTTGACACAGGTGCATCGATCCGAAACATAGACTCTGCGACATTAAAGTAGCCCAAGTATTCAACCTCTTCAGGTGTGGTGTCGTAATGATAGTGCCCACCTTGCTTGTGGTCACTGAAGCAATGGGTGTGCTCTATGCGAAGGTCCCAACCCTGCACATGATGCAGCAAGAATAGAAGACAGGTGGTAAAGCACAATACTACTGGAAGTAATCTGCATAGATCAGTGCAGGTACGGTCTGCTACATATAGAAAAAGTTTCACAAACTTCACCTGAATTCCTAAGAAACAAGGAAGATGCACCAACTAAGCCATACCGTATATACTCGTGTAAGGGCCGCACTTTTTTTTCGAAAATTTTGCTAGGTGCGGCCCTTACACGAATCAGGCCGATTTAGTACAGGCAGTACAGGCCAAAGGTCTGTACTGTTTATGCAACAGTAGCAGAGTGCAAGAGTCACAAATGACATGCCAGAAATGTTTTTATTCGGATTCCATTTCGCTGTCCTCGTTCTCGGAGGAGCTCGCCTCGGCGTCCGCGTCTTCCCAGAGACGGTCATCTTCGGTGCCGTTCATGGAGTTCGAAATTCCCGTTACCTTGAAGCTTTTAGCAACTACTTCTACTGACATGGCACGCCACGCATTCAAAATCCATTCACACACCTGTTGGAGCGACGCCCGCTTCAGCCGTCCTGTAGGGGTCTTCTCGTGGACGCCTCCAGCCATCCATTCAGAGTAACATCGGCGAAATTCCACTTTGAATGGTCTGTTGACGCATACGTCGAGCGGCTGCAGCACACTCGTCAGGCCACCGGGAATGACGGCCAAGTCCGTACGAGTTGCGGCAACTCGGTTCTTGACGCGGTCGGTCAAGTGGCCCCTAAAGCTGTCCAAAACAAGGAGGGCTTTCCGTTGTAACAGCCCTCCAGGTCTGTTTGCCCAGACGGTCTTAATCCAGTCAACGACCAGTTCCTCGGACATCCAGCCCTTCTCTTGCGCACGTACGACGATTCCCTGAGGGAACTTCTCTTTTGGGAGAGTCTTCCTTTTAAATACGACGTACGGCGGAAGCCTCCTGCCGTCTGCCGTGATGCACAACATCACAGTGCACCTTTGGCGTTCTGCACCAGTCGTGCGCACAGACACACTTTTCGCACCTTTTAAATCCACTGTGGTGCTTTCCGGTGCATCGAACCACACAGGTGTCTGGTCCGCATTCCCAATTTGGGACAGGTCGTATTCATGCTCCCTCCTGAGAGCATTCACGAAGCGATGAAACTTAATGACGTGGTCTTCGTACTCGCGCGGCAGTTTTTGGCAAATCGTCGTTCGGCGCCGAATAGAAAGCTGGTTACGGTTCATAAACCGCGTAGCCCAGCCCCGACTTGCCTTGAATTGTGCCGGGGGTATTTCCATGTGGCGAGCGATGCTGAGGGCTTTGACGCGTATCATGTCAGTCGATACGGCGTAGCCGTCCCTTCGTGTGTCGACGACGTAGTTGACGAGCTCGCTTTCGAGTTGCGGGTACTTGCACTTTTTCCCGCGAAACGCCTTTCGGCTCCTGTTAGTAGCGGCGAGGGCATCTTTCTGATTCATCCAGTAACGCACGCGCTTCTCATCGACGTCGTACTTTCGTCCAGCTTCCCGCTTCCCGTGCTCCTCGGCATAGTCAATCACTTGCAGCTTAAATGCTGCAGTGAATGATCTCAGATGCCGGCCCATCGTCCGTCACGTGCGCTGGCTTCTGCAGGGTTCACTACAACCAACAAAGTGACACCGACGACACCGATCTGAAGTCGCGCTGCCAACGTATCGACACGATGCTAGGAACGATGCCAACAAAGAGGCCGCACAAGGCAAATATGGCGGCGCGCTGTCAACAGCGTGGTCGGCGCGTCGGCGGAAGTAGAATAAAAGCGGAAAAGCGTGCAGCGCCATCTGGCTGTAAATGAACTAACTACACTTTTCTGGCGGGACATTTTGAACTTTTGTTTTTTTTTTTTTCGAAATATCCGCTTTCAAAGTTGGGGTGCGGCCCTTACACGAGGGCGGCCCTTACACGAGTATATACGGTATTCATCAGAGCAATTTCAACACAGAGGCATAGCTTTTAAAATGAGGTAGCAAGACTTGTGACACCGTAATTTCACCTATAAGCATGAAAGTCTGACCAAAGAACTTGAACCCAGATGACAGACTTGAAACACGGATAGCACAATGCAAAACTTGAAACCAGTCATACTACTAACTGGTTTTAGATGAGCAAGAACTCGATACTGGCTATTTTTACAGCACGATTCTACAGAGACAACTAAAATGAAACTTCATATTTAAAACAAAGGTTTCTCAATAGCTGCCAACAAATAACCATAGAAAACTTTACCACCACAACTGAAGTTTGAATGCGAAACATGCAATTACCAGCCATTGTTTTTCAAAGAAGCCCACAAACAACAATCTGAGAAGCACAGCCTTCTTCGAGCAGCTATGGCAGCTAATTACAATTACATTCAAGAACAGATTAAATCCTAGCATAGCATTGTACAATATAGTATATAATAAGGGGTGGGAAAGAGATGTGAGGATGAGGAAAATATAGAGAAGTATAGTGGAATCAAGTTGAGGAGGCAGGTGAGATAGAGATTAAAGACGTGCACGTGGTCTAACAGAAAGGAGGTTTCCACAGTGCTAAACTATGCCAATGCATGCCTACTTTTGCATCACTTAGCCTTTTATCGCTGAGGCTTCCCCTCAGCTCCACTGCACATTGGCCGTTATGAAGTTAAGTCATTTAAAGGGCCCCTAAACCACCCAGAGGTCAAAATTTAGTTGTGGTCGGGAAGTTGTGTGTGAGTGCCGCGACAAGGAATCCATTAAATTTTTCGAAATGGTGCCGTAATAGAGGAGTAAGAAGCATTTGATTACTTAAACACAGCGATCACTCCTTTCGCACTTTACTTAGCTACTCTTCGTTCGTATCCTCTCCCAAAGTGGCTTTGCCCTCTCGCTGAGCGCCCCTTCCTATCTCTCGCGGCATAAGTCATCGTTGAGACGCTGCTCAGAACACTGTCTACTCCCGGTTACCGCGATTCTGTTCGTTCATCGGCTCTGTCGACTGCATGCTTGTTGGGGAACCGCTGCTGGCTGGCCCCAGCTTACATAAATCATGCCGGTATGAACCCTGTGTTATGAGCCACAATAGCTGATTCGCAAGCGCGCTTATGAAAGTGGGCATTATGATGAACAACAACAAGCAGCATGGACAGCTGCTTGTAGACTAACCATGAGTTGTGAGCTCTTGCTCAACTAATCACAGCATCAATGTGTTGCACATGAGAAGTTCATTTTCTCGACGTCACGCGGAGGCCCAGAGAGGAGGGGGGATTGTTTCTTTGAAATCGTGGTGTGTCAGCAGCTCGTAGGGCTTTTATGTCTACAGTTAAACCTCGTTATAACAAGACGGGCTATAACGAAATAATGGATATAACGAGCAAATCCTAATTCCCCTTGAAAGTCCCCATACAAACCAATGTATTCAAAACCTCGTTTTAACGAGACAAAATTTGCCTGTTATGGGATATAACGAACAAATTTTGTTAGGAAGTAAAATTTTGAGCCGATGCCACGACAGTGCACAACGCGAATTTGAGACGGCGTGCAACGCAAGAACTGTATTTAGCAGTTCAAAACTCCCGTCACGCGCCCTCCAGCAACGCGCGCAAAGCAGACGGCACGCGCTGTTTCCGGAGGAGAGGTCGCTGCACGTGCGCCGCTTGGCTACCACCGACAGCGGAGCGCTCCGCAGCTCCGCGAACGTTTCGCCTTTTTCTTTTGTGTCTTCTTTATATTCTCCCTCTCCCTTTTCTCATGGCGTTGAGGCGCCTTCCTAATCTTACATAGCCCCTTCCCCTTGAGTAACCGGTTCCTAGAGGGCAGCGCAAAAGAGCGCCCCTTCTGTCCCTTCCTCTTCACAGTCACTTTCTCTGCAAGTGTTGTCGCTCGCCGACGTGAGCCGCGTTGCTTTTGCGTGCGTGTTTCTTCTCTTTTTCGACCGTTTTCGCCTTAACTTTTATCGTGCTGCGCTCGGGATTCCAGCAACATGAATGCGCCAGGTGGGAAGCGAAAGCGCATAAGGCTAGATCAGAAGGCGGCTATGATAAGAGCCGTCGAATCGGGGACCAAGAAAGGCAACGTGGCAAGAGACTTTGGCGTATCGAAGAGCACACTGTCAACCATCTTGAGCAAGGAGGAGTCCATCATCGACGCTGTTGCACGTGGCGTGAAAGGAAGCGCTAAGAGGATGAGGGCACCTGCTTTTGAAGCGGTCGAAAGGGCCGTTTACCGTAATTACTCGAATCTAACGCGCACCTTTTTTCCGGTTAAGCGAGTTCATAAATCGCATGCGCGTTAGAATCGAGTACGAACAAAAAAATTACGGTCAATCTATTGCCATCGCAAATCCAAGATGGCCGCCCCCTACGTGCGTCGGCATGGTGCACGGAGGCTTCCTCCGTGGCATGGTGCGTCGGCTATTTCTGCCTATGTGTTTACCATGTGCGACACTTCGTACGTGTGCTGAGGAGTTCGTCATCTAGTAGTGCATTAGCATCGACGACGTGGAAGGGCCGACTCCAAAAACTCGAGTGCACCACGATGCCGCTTTTAAAAGAAAAGTCATCGCGTGTGCAGAAACAGACGGAAATCGGGCCGCATCGCGGTCCTTCTCGAAACGTGCGTGCGGGACCGGCGGAAACAAAAGCAGAAGATTGTCGACAGCAAAGCTTCACGCAAAGGCTTCAGTGAACCACAGCAGGGTCGGTTTCCGCAAATTGAAGAGCTGCTCCGCGAGTATGTGCTTGAGGAGCGAGCGGCACAGCGGCCCATGACAGAACTGCTCCAAGTGCGGGCTATGCAATTAGTCTTAGAAAAAAGTCTAATGCGGAGCCTGTTTAAAGCGAGCAGGTGCTGGCTAATTAACTATATGAAGAGGAAAGGCTCTTCCCTCCGAAGGGGAACATGCATATGCGAAAACTTTTGCGGAAAAGTACGATGAAAAGCTTTACAGTTTTCAGAGGTTCATCCTAAACTTGCGGCGCAACAACGGCTACCTGCTTGGGCAAATCTGGAATGCCGATCAGACGCCTCTTTACTTCGACATGCCTGGCACCACAACTGTCGAGAAGGGGGCGAAGCAAGTTCGCGTGCTGACATCGGTCCACGGTAAAACTACAGTGACGGCAATGCTCTGTTACACGTCAGATGGGCACAAGCTTCGCCCGTACCTCATATTTAAATGGAAGACAATCCCGAAAGGAATCGTTTTTTCGAGTGGTGTGATCGTGCGGGCCAGCAAAAAAAAATGGGTGCGCGTTGCAATCGATGTCTTACGTTTTTTTTTTTTTTTTTCGCGGTGGAAATCGGGTGCGCGTTACAATCGAGGGCGCGGTAGAATCGAGTAAATACGGTATATATGGTTCTTGGACACGCGGGCCGTGAATCTGCCGGTGAGCGGCGCCTTGCTGCAAAGAAAAGCGAGAGACTTTGCCTGCATCATGGGCTATGACAACATCGTAGCAAGTTCGGGTTGGCTCGAACGCTTCAAGGAGCGCCACGACATTGTCGGGAGAGCGGTCTGCGGCGAATCGCAATCTGACGACGAAGCAGAGGCTACCAAGTGGGCGAAAGAAAACATCGTGCAGCTGCTAGAGAAATACAGCGCGGAGGATAATTTTAACGCGGACGAAACCGCTCTCTTTTTCAAGATGTTGCTGCACAAGACGTTAGCCCTCAAAGGCGAGCCGTGCCATGGCGGCAAACAAAGTAAGCTGCGGATCACTGCACTACTTTGTGCAAACATGACCGGCTCTGAGAAGCTGCCAATTTTCGTAATTGGCAAAAGTGCATCTTCTCGCTGCTTTAAGGGGAAGAGGCAGCTCCCATTCAAGTACGTAGCCAATTGCAAAGCCTGGATGACTAGGGAGATTTTTTCAAAATGGCTTTGTGAATGGGACGAGAAGCTGGCAAAGGCGAACCGCAAGGCGTGCCTTGTTTTAGATAACTGCACCGCCCACCATACCGCTGCCGTGCTTCAAAACATCAAGCTGCTGTTCCTTCCTGTCAACTGCACATTAAATTACAGCCGCTTGACCAAGGCGTGATTATGCCGCTGAAGGCAGGTTACCGCAAGCGTGTGATAGACAAGCTCCTACTCAACATGAGGATGAAGCAAGACACCGATGTTGACTTGTACGCTGCGCTCGAAATGCTTCAGGCGCCGTGGATGAGTGTGACGGCGACCACGATCGCAAACTGCTTTCGACACACCTCATTTGCCGCCGCACCAGACGCCTGCGATGAGCCATCAGACGAGCCCACTGTGCCGGACGGTTTTGCCACATCAGACGAAGTCGCTGCATGATGGACGGCACTTCGTGCACCGGTGTCGTGCCTGACAGCGAGTCGTTTTGCGACTATGTGAGTGCGGACTCGAAAGTGGTGGCAACGGAGCCGCTCCTGGATGACGATACTGTGCGCGGTGTCAGTGATCGTAACGAAACCAGTGACAATGACTCTGTCGACGAACAGGAGACAAACGTGCCGACGGCGTCGGAGGCATTAGACGCGGTGGACGTACTGCGCCGCTACTTCGGCGCTCACGAGGGCGGCGAAGATGGCTTGAACATTGCGGCCGCAGCTGAGTGAGCCCTTGTTCGCATCAGGAAGATGCATCAATGTCCAATTACGGACTTCTTTGCAGCTAAGTCTGCCGGAAATGCAAGCTGTGTATTTTGAAGTGCATTAAAATAGGTGCATGACCTTTTCCTTTTTATTTGGGAATGCGGTTATTTTGTTGCATACCACCGTGCGGCGGGATGCTATTTCGCCCGCTATTTTTTTGGGGTAAGTACAGTGCATAATATTTGCGGTCAATGCCCGCTACGGCTATAACGAAATATTGGTTATAACGAGCAAATAGCGGCGGCCCTCCAATTTCATTTTAACGAGGTTTAACTGTAGCATCTTTAGTCGAGACAACATCCTACACACTATGCGCATATTTACTTGAAACGACTGACAAAATATCGGAGGTAGTTCAGGGGCCCTTTAAAGCCAAGCATAAATTGTAGAGTTACATGGGATCAGATCCAAGAAAAATAGCTGCCAACACAAGGAATTTGGGATCTTTGTCAAGCTGATTCCTATCTGCCTATGCTATTATACACCACAAACATGCAGGCAAATTCGCTTACTGAAAACAAATGAAATCGCTTGACACACAATGTGGAGCGCAAGCCAGAAACAAAATTCCGAACTATCTGCAAAAATGACTTGGTCCTTTCTGTATGCTTAACCTATTGAGGTACAAGAAATGTACATTTTCATCACTAGTTCCCACAATACTCACTATCTGCAAAAGTGATTGTTTAGCCTAAATTAATTTGCACAACTTTACTGCTTACATATGAATGTAAACTTGCAGTCACCAATCTGTTTGAGTAAAACAAATTGAAAACAAAATAGTAATGCTTTGAATATGAGCTCATTATGTGTATTCATCTGAGCTTTCAAGAAAGAAGCTATGACTGGTCAGAAAAACATTTGCTGGTCCACCCATGCCGAGATTATAAGCTGCACCATTGCAAAAAAATAGAGGCCACTTACCGGGTCATGGGAGACAAACACACTCAGGCATACCAGGGGTGCCTCCATCTCAAAAAACTTGAGCCAGCTGTTCATTGCCTCATTCGTCAGCAGTGGCGCTGTGGAAAACTTTGGCTGTAAGATAAAAAAAAAGGGGGGGGGGGGGGGGGTTAACGCTGTCCCAGATACAAAGAGCAGCACTGTACTTCAGGAGTGTCCAAACATTCCAAATCTTGCAACATTAAGTTGAACTCAACCTATTTCATTCGATCTTCACATTAAATTGACATTATTCATAAATATAAATATTTTTCCAATGGTTCATGAGTGCCTCGAAATGCCAACTGTGCCCAAACTAAACACAATTTGACTGAAGTACAATAGATCACACCCCCATATGCACAGAGTAAAGGCATAAGGCATTAGAGCCTGCTTGACTGAGCAAGCTACATCGCTCAGTTAGCCAGGCTTTTTCCAGACACACCACAATCAATTAAATTCTCTGAAGAATCCTGTATACGCAGAGATCGCTTTTATGTTTTCCTGGTTCAATCATGCTTTCAGTTCTGAAACTCTGAATACATGGTTTTACACCAATTGTATCACAGTTTAGTATTCAAAAGCTGTACAAAGGTATTGTATACATTCAAACCTCATAATAATTAAGTCACATATAATATATACTGTTAAAGGAGCATCCAAAAAATAAAGCCGTAGTCAGCACCAGAGTTTAGAGACCATCGGATAGAAGAAAAAGCTGAATATTTGTTCTGCTTTGGCAGGCAGCCTTGAATTTAGATTTTCTGTCTGTTCTAAAATGTGATAACAACATGTACTCAGCATCTTGCTCAGGGGAGCCTGGATGTGGTTAGGAAAAGAACACATGACAGAGAGGATGCTCCTTTCTGTCGTGGTCTTTTCCTAACCAAATCCGTGCTCACCTAAGCAAGATGTCGAACCAACCAGCCCAACAACTGACCCCATGTACTCTGCAATTCAACCAAATTAAGTTATAGTAGATCGTTAAAAAATTCACAAAGTTGGTTTTCTCAAACCTAATGGCTTCTAAACTTTTAAAGCCTGCTGTACGTGGTGCTACAATAACAAGATAGCCTTACCATGACATGGAGCTTGGCCTTGCCTTTGGCAAGCACGAAGGCGCCGCCGAGTCCCACGGGATTGGAGCCGTAATGAGCCGCAAGTGCTTTCCGCATGGCAGTCACAAAGTTGTCTGCACCTGTGCGCTTTTTGGCACTCACACAGATTACCTGAGGGCAGAGTACAGGTTACAAAAAGCAAAAAGTAAGAGTTTAAGGACCCTACAGCTATAAAAAGGGCACATCGAATGCACAAACAAGAAAGACATTAAAGAGCCAGAAAAACGGCAACTCAACCACAGGAAAAAGGCGATTGGCAATAACTGGGGAAGAGGCCATTACCTTGCAGCGGGCACAGTCAGGCTGATGATTATCAAATGCCAAAATGCCCAATGTCAACTTTCTCGTCCCCACACTTTAAGTTTCATGAAAACCCACTAGAAATTCGATTCAAGAGATGACTGTTGGTGTTTGCCTAATGTCCTTAAAGGAGTGCATGCAGGTTTCTCAGAAAGATGTGCATCATATAAAGAAAAAATAAGTTTTCAAGACTGGAGATAGAAGTTAAAGCCACGGTTATTTCCAAACAATTTCACAGATTTAAAAGTAAAAGATCTCTGCAGAAATGAAGTTGCCCAGTTGAACAAACATCTGCCCCGATTGTGGGACTGAACCAAGCACAGCCGTTCCCTTGCAAGGTGGATGTCCCCAGTCTGATATTAACTGGAGGCTGGGGCTACAGTACACTAATTAGTGCATTGAAGACAGATTACCCAACAATGAAACACAGGGAAACAATGAACCAGCTAATGAGTTCAGCCACAATCCAATAGGTGAAGGGACTTTCGGCAGTACTTTGTGCTATTTTAGGCGGATGCCTTCTCACACAAAATTCGAGATGGAACTCACAGTTCACATTAGCATTTCTATCAGGTACTTATGCACAGCTTTTAGAATCATGATTGATTGATATCTGGGGTTTAACGTCCCAAAACCATCATATGATTATGAGATACGCCGTAGTGGAGGGCTCCAGAAATTTCGCTCGCCTGGGGTTCTTTAACGTGCACCCAAATCTGAGCACACGGGCCTACAACATTTCCACCTCCATCGGAAATGCAGCCGCTGCAGCCGGGATTTGATCCAGCGGCCTGCGGGTCAGCAGCTGAGTACCTTAGCCACTAGACCATCGTGGCGGGGTTTTAGAATCATGAACAAATGAAAATTTTCTGAGGAAGATTCTAAGAACTGCCCCAGTGAGGTGCCACCAGTGATGACAACCACACCATTGTGATGAGAAATACAAGCTACCTTGGGTCTTCAAAGAAAGATCTGGTATAACTATTACTTTCTTGAGTATTCATCAGATGCACATGGTGCGATATCAGGAACAAGGCGACATCTGTGACGACACCGGAACGTATAAAAGCATCGCATCGCCCGCTGCTCTTCAGTGGGTCCGGCGGCAGCATGGAAAGCACTCGCTTCAAATTCTTATGCTCTGTCTTGCAGGTAAGCTTAAAGTACAATTTCAAAAGCTATAGAAGTGGCAACTATTTCTTACTGCTGCTGCCGGACCCCCCTGCAGACCTCTTGAATATGTCTTTTGTGCTGATGAATTTCTTGAGAATGCTGTTGCTTGTGTGTGGTGATGTGGAGAGTAACCCTGGTCCTGAGGTCGAAGACATGTTGCGAGAGTTGCTCTCGGAGCAGACTAAAATTGCACAGGAGATAACAGGTCTTTCCTCTAGGGTTGCATCCTTCGAAGAACGATTAACTAAAATTGAGCTGTCCATTGCGTCAATTACTGATGTTGCACCACGCGTGTCTGAACTCGAGGAAGCCGTAGCTGACATTCGAGAGATTGTTAGTAAACTGGACCACAAAAACGACGATTTAGAAAATAGGTCCCGTAGAAATAACCTGCTCATCTATGGCTTAACCGAAAACTCTGGGGAAACTTCAGACGAGTTGCTGGAAACAGTAACTGGACTGATTACATCAAAACTAGATGTTTAGTGTGGCGATATCGAACGATGCCATAGGCTGGGAGTGCGTAAGAGCAGTAGCACTAGCCCAAGACCTGTTATTATTAAGTTGCTGGATTTTAGAACTAAGGTCGCTATTTTAAGCAATGAAAGCAAGTTGAAGGGCACAAAAATATTTATAAATGAAGACTTCTCTGAGCGCGTGAGGCAGATACGCAGGGAACTGTGGCAGAATTCAGCCGAGATAAGAAGGGATGCGAGAAAAGCCAGGCTGCACTACGATCATTTTTTGGTGGACAACGTTTGGTATTCTTGGGATGAGAAGAAAAAAGTTATTGTTAACGAAAGCCATCGGCTGTCTGCTACAAACAATGAATGAGGGCTTAGTATGAAGTCCTTTGCGCTTTTGAATTTAAATGCGAGTAGCCTAGTTAATAAAATTGCAAACTTTAACTGGCTCATTGAGTGTCATAGTCCATCAGCTATCTGTGTGACCGAGACTTGGTTAAATGAATCTATCCTTGATCATGAATTCTTGCCTCCTGGTTACACGGTTCTAAGAAAAGATAGGCCTTCTGGCCGTGGTGACGGAGTGGCACTTTTTATTAAAAGTGGTATTGAATTTTCTTTACTGCCAGAACTCCCAAATACTGAATCTATATGGTGCAAACTAATGCTTGATGGTCTCGCTATTGTTGTTGGTGCTCTCTATCATCCTCCCAACTCTGCCTCAGACGTTTTTTCGACTGTCAGTGACTATATTGTGGGACAAAGGCTGGACTGTTCTAAACTCGTATTGACCGGTGACTTTAATGCCCCCTCTATAGATTGGAATTTGTTAACATCAACTGGTCGTGACAGAATAATTTGTGATTCTTTAATTATTCTGTCACTAGCTTTCGATCTATCGCAGCTGGTTGATCAGGCTACACGCGAGGATTCTATACTAGATCTTGTTTTTGCCAACCATGAGTTGGTTACGAATGGATATCAGTGCAGGGTTGTCGATGGAATTTCCGACCATAAGGCCGTTATTGTTGATTTAAATGTTGCTTGTAAGCCAGTACGACCAACGTTTAAGAATGTGCTGAATTTTGAATGCGCAGACAACACTTCTATTTTTACTAAACTTGCAACATGCTTTGACGATTTCTTATCGAGTAGTGACCACTGCAGTATTTATACGCTGACTAACCAATTTTACAGTATAATTAATGAATGTATAGCGCAGTTTGTTCCTCACCAGAGCATAAAACGTCATGCCAAACACCCTTGGTATACCAGGTCAATTATACAGCTTAAACGTCGTATTAAGCGACTGCGAAAGCGACGGAGGGTTCACAATAATGACGGGGAGTCCCAAATTAACTTGCTTAAATCTGAACTTAAAGCTAAAATGAGTGATGCCAGAAAGTTTTACTTTAATACCACGTTAAGCTCTTTTATGAAAAATAATCCCCTTATGTTTTGGAAAACTATCAATCCTACCACGGCCTGTCCGTCAACCTTCATGATAGATGATGTGTCCTGCTCCGATTCATCCAAAATTTCTGAAGCCTTTAAGAAGTATTTCCAAACTGTATTTGGAGATGACAATGGAACGACCCCTGACATTCGTAGCAGCCAGGAAATAGATTTGTTTCCAGCAATTGAAATGAGCTACACTGGCGTTCTTAACCTTCTGTTGAATATCGACACTACTAAAGGTGCTGGGCCAGATGGCATACCAAACATGTTTTTGAAGCGTTACGCAGAATGGAATGCTCGTTATTTATCAATAATTTTTGTTAAATCATTAGAAACAGGTATTGTGCCGACCGTTTGGAAAATCGCCAATGTAATTCCTGTGTTTATATCGGGTAATAAGCAACTCATTTCTAACTACAGGCCTATTTCATTAACGTGTACCTGTTGCAAGCTTTTAGAGCACATAATTCATAAACATGTACTTCAGCACCTCACTAATAACAACTTATTGTCCCGTAATCAGCATGGTTTCCGCTCTGGTTTTTCTACAACTACACAGCTCATTGAATTCATTCACGACATCGCTTCGGCTCTTAATACTCGAGGACAGGTTGACGCCATATTCATAGATTATAGCAAAGCATTTGATGTAGTATGTCACAAAAAACTTCTTACTAGACTCAGAAGTATTATTAACGATGACAAAATAATAGGCTGGATAGCTGATTGGCTACAGTTTGAGGTCACAATTCGTTACGTTTGAGCATGCGCAGTCATCGTCGTGTGCAGTCACTTCCGGGGTTCCACAGGGGTCGGTGCTTGGGCCCCTATTGTTCATTATTTATATTAATGATGTCACACAGGTCATTAAGGACACACCAGTGAAGCTGCGATTGTACGCTGACGACTGCGTTTTATATACTAGCGTAAATAATGCTCATGACCAAGATGTTCTGAACAAAGTATTTTCGTCTTTTTGTGGTTGAAGCGCCACGTGGCAAATGAACTATAATTACCAAAAAACTGTTCAAATGACATTTACTAATAAAAAACATCCGCTAAGGTTTAGTTATAGTTACAATGGGCACTACCTAAACTCTGTTAATACATTCAAATATCTTGGTGTTACCTACACTCAAAACCTAAAGTGGCACCATCACATTGAAACAATTTGCGCTAGAGCACTACGAAAACTGGGATACATAAAACGAACACTCAAGCACTCTACCAAGGACTGCAAATTAACGGCGTATAAATCGCTCGTCCGACCATTGCTAGAGTACGCCTCAGCGGTATGGTCACCCTATACTGCACTTGACATAAATATGCTCGAGGGCATACAGAAAAAAGCAATACGATTTATATTTGGCCGGTATGACCGCAATTTTTCTCCCTCATCTCACGCATGCTCATTGTCGTTAGAACCCCTTGCTTTCCGACGCACACTTGACCGTATCACTCTGCTACATATAATTGTACACAGCCGCAGTTGCATTGAAGCACCGATTACTTTTTGTGATTCAGCACGACGAATCACGCGCCGATCTCACCCACTCAACATTGTTCCCTTCCAGCCATTTGTAAATTGCTTTAAGCATTCCTTTTTCCAGCCGTTGTTGAGATTTGGAACAACCTAGATGGTTCCCTACGCGAAAAACCAATTGAACTGTTTTTGAAAGAACTGCCTAACCATACTTTGTAATATGTTTTAAATGCTTTGTATGTTTCTTTGGTATTGCTTAATGTATGTTCGTTCCTTTTCCTAATGTACCCACTTCTGCTATGTCTCGTGTATCGAGACAGCAGTATCTGTAAATAATAAATAAATAAAGATGAAACAGAAATGGGATGTGAAGAGCTCTTTAAGACGTATGTGACATAAAACTACCATTAATCACTGTTCACAATAATTGACTGTCAAATTGTTGCATGTTACTGTATTTAATCGAATGTAACACCAGTTTTCCAAAGTCCTGCGACCTTAAGTAGACCCTCGCATTACAACCGAATATGGAAATTCAAGTTGTCTAGAAAGTGAAAGGATGGACAGACTTCTTTAAAAAAAAATTTTCCTTTCTGGACACAATTAAAAGTCACCCTTCACGTCACAATTGTGGCTGCAGTACAATCTATTGACTACAGTAATCATGGCATGATCCACACCTCTGACATGACTGCAAAATGCCTGCTCTAAATGTCTTCTCTATTCAAGACTATGCAATAACTTTGAGCTTTTGTCATATAAAATTGGTAGACCTTCTTATGATGGCTCAGAAAGTGAACTGATCAGTGGAATAATTTGGTGACATCAGGAATTCAGTGACATCAGGTGACATCAGCAAAATTTGGTGACATCAGGAATTCCTTCAATCACAAAACTAGCTTACTCCTAATTCTTCATTCATTCCCTAAAGCAGCCCATGTTGGTACAGGGTTCATAAAGGCCCCTCTGTTTCGATGCACAATGGCAACCAACCTGTTTCTATGCCCAAATTTATTATTCATGTTAAAGCACCAAAACTAGTACACACTACAAATGCACACCATCTCTTTACAAAGTACAGTACAGTAGAGTGTCAGCAAACCGAACTGCTGCTTGAATAGAACAACTGCCTCTAATATGATTGGTCTTGTAATTGTATTTACCCCTTTCCATCTCTCAGTAAACAAAACTCCTGTTAAATGGAACATAACTTCCCAGTCCCTTGAGATTCCATTTGATGAGGGTCTACCGTACTTACTTTATAAAAGAAGATTATTACGGTTATCCTAGCTACAGCTGAAACCGTGGCATTTAAGATAATTTACAAAAGCAAGAAAATAGCAAAAAAAAACAAATAGGAACACACCTTTCCAGGCTTTCCTTCAGAGATCATCAGATTAGCCATAAGGCCAAACTCACAGCAGGAAGTTGTGAATCGACCAAGCTCATAGGAACCATCCTGCGAAACAAATGAGCCGCACTGGGGCATTAGCCCTGCACATAGGACGCGGGACCTTTCGTTGAAGTTGAAAGCACACCTTCATAGGTAGCCTCTTCTAAAGACATGCAGGTCTTTAATACATACATATAACACACTGCCTTCTTATGCTTACTCCATACATGTGAGAAATAATCTAACCACAAATGCCAGCAGATTTAATCACTGAGAAAGTTTCCCATACAAATGCAGATAGCAAACATGTGCTGGCTGTACAGCTGGACCAAGTGGAGGCTGTTTGGCAGAAAGAGTATATATCCTAAAATTCCACTAAAACTAAATCTCTTATTGAAGGGAATTTTCATTCAATAGAATGACTGTTATTAATATGATTGGCTTCATGCTTGAATTCTACGCCTCTGTTCATCTTTCACTGAATGGAAGTCATGTTAAACAAAACATACCATATTTACTCGATTCTACCGCGCCCTCGATTGTAACGCCCACACGATTTCCACGTCGAAAAAAAAAAAAAGTAAGACATCAATTGCAACGCGCACCCATTTTTCTCGCTGGCCCGCATGATCACACTACTCGAAAAAACAACTCCTTTCGGGAGCGTCTCCTATTTAAATATGAGGTACGGGGGAAGCTTGTGCCCATCTGACATGTAACAGAGCATTGCCGTCATTGTAGTTTTACCGTGGACCGATGTCAGCACGCGAACTTGCTTTGCCCTCCTTTTCTCAACGGTTGTGGTGCCAGGCATGTCGAAGTAAAGAGGCATCTGATCGGCATTCCCGATTTGCCCAAGCAGGTAGCCGTTGTTGTGCTGCAAGTTTAGGACGAACCTCTGAAAACTGTGAAGCTTTTCATCGTACTCCTCCGCAAAACTTTTCGCATATGCCCATTCACCTTCGGAGGGAAAAGCCTTTCCTCTTCATAAAGTTGGTTAGCCAGCACCTGCTCACTTTAAACTGGCTCCACGTTAGACCTTTTTCTAAGGCTAATTGCATAGCCCGCACTTGGAGCAGTTCTGTCGTCACGGGCCGCTGTGCTGCTCGCTGCTCAAGCACATACTCGCCGAGCAGTTCTTCAATTTGCGGAAACCGACCCTGCTGTGGTCCACTGAAGCCTTTGCGTGAAGCTTTGCTGTCGACAATCTTCTGCTTTTATTTCCACCAGTCCTGCACGCACATTTCGGGAACTCTGAACCACCGCGATGCAGCCAGATTTCCGTCCGTTTCTGCACAAGATGACAGATGACTTTTCTTTTAAAAGCGGCATCGTGGTGCACTCGAGTTTTTGGAGTCGGCCCTTCCATGCCGTCGATGCTAATGCACTACAAGATGACGAACTCCTCAGCACACGTACGAAGTGCTGCACATGGAAAACACATAGGTAGAAATGGCCGACGCGCGATGCCGACGCACGTAGGGGGCGGCCATTTTGGAAATGTCGATGGCAATACAATAACTGTATTCATTTTTTTTTTCATACTCGATTCTAACGCGCATGCGATTTATGAACTCGCTTAACCGGAAAAAAGGTGCGCGTTAGATTCGAGTAATTACGGTATTTGCCTGGTCCCTTCAGTTTCCATTTGATGAGAGTTTACTGTGTGTAGGCTACTGTATACAGTCGCCGACCGATTTTCCGGACTCCAAAAATTCGGACTTGTTGGATATTCCGGACTTTATAAATGCACCGTCAGGGATCCCATAGAGCTAATGCATTGTTTCGACCGATTTTTCGGGCGAATTTGCCCCTGAAAGTTCGATTTTTCGGACTAAATCTTTCGTTTTGTGCCACGTTTCAAGCCATCGTGAACGCCGCCATGTTGGATTTTCCGTCGGCTTGGCTAAACTTGGTCTTCAAATGCCTTTCCTGCCTCCGAGATTGGAATGCGCACGCCATATTTTAAGTTTCGGAGGCCGTGTTCGCTTTTTAAAAGACGCGGTGATGGATGCCGTTTTTTCGTTTTCGGTCAGCACTATCGTCATCACATCGCACGGGGAGGAGGCGAAAGAAGGATTCTCTACCTGCCACAATGACATTTAAAGACTTCACTCGTGCGGACGACGACATTGTTTCGTGCGCGGAGGCCACTGACGACGAAATTCTTCGCCAGGTTGTCCCGGAGCCGGAGAGCGGCTCGGATGACAACGACGACCGCCCGCAGCCGTCGGCGGCGGAGATCGCGAACGCGGTGACAATTTTGTCGAGCGTTTACGGCGACGATGTCACCTTGGCGCAAATACGGGCAAACCAAATTGCCTACAAGCGTAGTTTGAGGCAAGGCAGCATCAAGGACTTTTTTAAACCTGCCTGATGCAATAAACTTCAGATTTTTGGCGAAAACGAATTTTTCGGACTGTTCGATTTTTCGTACTTTTTTTCGGTCCCCGCCAGGTCCGAAAAATCGGTCGGCGACTGTATAGTACTGATAGATATTAGGCACTTGGTGCAAGGATCAAGGTGACTTCAGTACTCCATTCCCAGATCATGTACGAAGGATCATTGCATCTTGTTCTGCACCGTCACTCACTAGAAGAGCTGAGCACATACTTTCTTGCGCTTTGTACTACAAGACGAGGATAAGGCAGGGGTAATAAGACAGGTGGTGATACTAAGACAGGGAGAAGATAGGTGGCGCATAACATCTGTCTTGTCTGAACACCAGCTGTCTTCTCCCTGTCTCGTATAAAGCGCAGGAAGAAATAATGAGAAACCACCAACCAGCCAAATTCAGCTCTTCAGTAATTGTGCCACTGGCATCCAATAGTACTCCTAGAAAACACTTGTGATAAAGAATTACGACCACTCACCTCGTTAATCTTTGCATAGTGACTGTTGTTGAAAGGTTTATCGCCATACTTCATGTTATGCATCATCTATATGACAGAAAATAATCTATTGTGAGATCACATAGCAAAGAATGTGCATAATAGTATTTGGACTACATGACCTACACAATCCACTGACAATCCTTCTGAAAGAGGTCAACAAGCAGCAAAAATAATTTATTGGCATTATTTTTATTGCTGAACTTGAACGCCCTGTTTCTAAATCAATTAGGATTCGGTCACGGCCAAACTTGCCCCAAAGCACAACAAAAGGTTATGAGGCATTTAATACTGTTTAAACTTCGGTGTAACATACTGCATGTCATACTACAAGCATTACAGGATACTATCATCTCTATATATGGAATGATAAAGATTACTCAACATGTACACTGAACCTATTTTTTTCCCATATCACACACAATCAAGCATTTCCACGCCCAAATTTCCATTGATCAGCGACTTATTTACAACCCTCAACATTCAATGTGCAACAAATGACCCTAGCCGGCAACAATCACTGCAATGACATACTGATTACATGGCAACATCAGTGAGAAAGTTCACCATGTCATGTTCCTTAAGTGAAGCTATGCCTGCATCAGGAAAATCTTTTCATGCTACATGACAAAGAGAAGGGCCCTCTAACGCTTTCTTAAGCAATTGTAATGACTTCTTTAATCCTTCATGTGACAGCGGGAAATGTATGTTCCACTTTGCCGCCAGCAGAAAAAATTTTCACCAAATCACTCGTTGCAAACAGCGCAATACTAAGTCACTCATATTTTATACAAGCCTTTGTACTCTGAAAAAAAAATTTTTATTATGCTTTTAACAGGATGGAAGTAGTGTTAGAATGGGACTAAAGTTTGATGAAATTTTTTTAAATACATTCAGAATTTCTTCTTGCTGAGATAAAAAACAAAGTCTATGAAGCAAAATGCCAGATAATTTCCTCTTTTCCTGGTTTTTCAAAGTATCGATTTTAGCTTCCAGCCATCACGTGTTTATAAATTTACACACTAACTGGACCGATGAATGTACCGAAACACAATCTGCTGCTAAATTGCCACGCTCATCCCTGAGTGTAATTGCAAATATTGATGTGTGGAAATATTTTTCTAGATGCCACATACCTTTTGAAAAGTACACACAGGTTCAGGGACAACAGTCATGCTTGACAATTTCTCGACAGCCGTGCGAGACATAGAACACAATGAAGGCTCAGAAGAGCCTTCGTAGTGTTCCACTGCAGGAAATGAGGTCTGCACAACTGTGCCACACTAGGCCACCTGCTTTGGCTGTTTCCTCTCAAATACCCACTGATGAAGTTGTGAGATGATGCCTCCATGAGTCAGTGGGGCGAAATTTTTCCACTTTATGAATACTCTCTCACGAGCCACTGGGACATACATATACTTTTTTTTAGTATACTGGCTTCATTCTGATTAAATTTGCTTTAAACTATTCCTTTGTAGTTTCTAATCAATATACCACAGCCATTTTTCATATCATTGTGTCAAGAACATAGGCAAATCTACAAATCGTTCAAAGAGCTTATTGCCTTGCAAATTGATTGCAGCAAACATTTTCAGAAATGTTCAAGTACGAGCAAAGTTACCCTGATTTGCTGCATGCTTCAAGTGCTTCCTCTCTGCTCTTGTACACGTTTGTGCACGGAAAGCTAGACAGGGTGGGGCAAGATGATGTGTCCCTTCGTCAGTACGTGTCGTGACCTTAAGCACTCTTTTGATTTTTTTTTTTTCGAACACACAGATTACTATCACAGAATCAGCGAGCGCGCGTGCCGGTACATGAGAGCATTTTGCGGTGGCCACAGTAACAATGCAGCTCACGACGCTAATATCATCGAACGGCTGTTCACTAGGGTATAAGGCGCAGTAATTTGTGCATAAGCATTATTTGTTGAGAGAAAAGGGAGCGATGTCTAGCCCACTTTGAGAATTAGTCCTAAATTCCAGGCCTCCTCATGCACCACACTGTATGGCTCACATGTTGTCAGCAGCCTCAGGTGATGATAAGCAGCATTTTTTTATCATGCTGAAAGGTGTAGCAGGGCCTTTTTAAAGGTCATTTGCAACAAAATGTCACTGAGGAAATCCTGACAACGCCATATATAGCTGGTAATAACGTACTATATACAGTAAGTAGTTTTCTACTTTGCAGCTTTTGAAATGGCACCTAGACAGATGACACTTGTATCTAATGGTTGTTGCAATGATGTATGTGCAAGACTTCCCCTTATACGGTGTTTTAATGATTCCTATCTTCATGGTCATGAAAAATCTCGCATTTTGAACACCCTTGCTTTTGTCATGTGCCACTTCTAGTGAGCACTAATGATGGTGATTTCTTCCTTTTTTTTTTGTTTAGTTTCAGATGAGAAACAACTTTTTTCCTAAGCTATTGCTTCTGCTCATATTCAAGATGTAAAAGCTTGTACGAAAGCTACCCTGCATCTACACTATTTCAAACTAGGCTCGTTATGCAACGTAACATTTTGCAACAGTTGACCTCACACAGGCGATGTAGCGAAACAAAACAGTTGACCTCCCAAGAGCAACGTCACAAAACAAACATACCTCACTGTTTACACCAACCACGTTGAACGGACCAGCGCCAGCACCGATGACAAGTGGGTCGGAAACATTTGTCTGCTTCACAACGTGCTCTAAATTGTAGATCTGTAACATGGAAATAGACGATTATGAGCGCCTCATAATAGCAAGGCCACAGTGACGTGTCGTGGTGAGTGACAATGAGCCCACACAGCGTGCAGCAAGTTTTAATGATTTAGGCATGCTGCAGTTGAACTGGCAATTGCTCAAGCTCAACGATATTCATCATATTTAAACAACGAGAGAGAAGGGAGAGGCCTGAGAGAAAATCGAACGCAAGACGAGTTACTGACTCGCAAGTTGCAGGTCCTAATGCACTGGCTTGTTTATCATAAACCTACAAAAATACAAACATGGGACAAGGCTCCTAATATTATCTGCCTGGATAGCAACGGCTGACAATAGACTTCTGGGAAAAGCGCTGCACTTGAGTAATTAAAAACTACTCATTCTATGCAGAAATGAGAAAAGTTAAGAGAAAGATGAAATTTTGAGAGCCAAAAACTCTGTGAACACCCCGCATTGACGAATTTTTCATTTCATGCAACGCAGGCGTCATGGACCTACCCCCAATAAAAGGCTTCTCTGCATTTCCAAAACCTGCATAATACTTTTTTACCCCTCGTTAAATCTCGTACTGGTGTAAACTACTTGTAACCATTTACTGCACATGTGCGATTCTTTGGCTACCAAATAGTGCATAACTCAACGTACTTTTGTTATTACCCTTTACGAGAGACGTGCACTGGGAAGCGGCTCTTTTATGAGGCTTCTTTCGCAGGCAGGGTACCCCGTTTTCATTTTCTGACCAACCAATACTTTGATGTAGGCAGACCGGTGCCTCTTCTATCAAATCCACCTTTTTCATTTTCATGTGCTTCCCTCTGCCACTTTGGTAAGGAGCTGGGCCGACCAGTTGGTATTGCCAGAATCAAATGCCTAAGAGATGAAGCAACGTCCTCCGATTTTTCCGCTAGGGGAAGGGTGCCCGCACCGTAGAATCGTGAAAGGGGCAATTGGCCCGATATATTAGTGCTTCTTATAAAGGAGCTCAGCTGTATTATTCTTAATTAATTTCTACAGATACATATTTAGTGCATGTTGTATTCACATGTGTTTTTCAATCCCCCCCCCCCTTCTCCCCACATGTGTCATGCCCTAATGGTCTTCAGGGCTACCAGAAAAGAAAAAAATTTAATTTATTTTTACGTCCCTTTGCTACATCTCTGCGATATAAACATCAGAAAGGTTCCTGTTTTCCTTCATATTGAACATTATCATGTGCTGTCATTTAAATTGCACCTTACAGTAGAGGCCCTTCCACCTCACATCTGCACAGTGCATGAATGAGAAACGCGGAAGTCAAAAGTGTTCAATTCATTTACCACACTTGTTCTTTCACGTATGCTTACATGACAAGCAACATCACACACCATCTTTATCCGAATGGGGCTGTGCCAGCCAGTGTAACTAACTTCATCACTTCACACGCTGTTTTCAGATCTGTTTGAGATGTTCAACAATCTGAATGTGTAACTGGTTGTTGTGAACACCACTTGGGGCATTATACTAATTTTGCCTAACTGTAGTTCAATCAACTTGCACCCACAGCAAAGTATGAGAGCATTATTGGTATCAGCGACCTTTGGAATAATAATAATAATAATAATAATATCTGGGGCTTTACGTCCCAAAACCACCATATGATTGAGAGATGCCATAGTGGAGGGCTGCGGAACTTTTGACCATCTCGTATTATTTAACGTGCACCGACACCCCACAGTCTGACGTTCTTTAATACGCACTGACATCGCATGGTACACGAACCTCTACCCTTTTGCCTTTATCGAAATGTGACCACCGCAGCTGGAGTCAAACCCACGACTTTCGGATCAGCAGCCGAGAACCGTAATAATTGCTCCACTACGGCAAACAACCTTTGGAATGCAGGCATGTAGTGTGATCGCAGCCTTCCACAAAGCTGGGAGATACAGTATCAGTCCAATAATGATAACAAGTACACATGGAATGATACGATTGGCATGTGCTGCCTTAGTTCATGTTCTGCCTTTATAGAGAGATATATATCATGTTTTTTTCTTTTTTGTGAGAACAGGCAACGATTATCGAATAATTCTCTTACCTTGTCTTTTTGCGCAATAGGAACTAAGTAAGGGACACCACCGACATCTGCTAGGCAGGGCTTGCCACATATACCTGGAGAACAAAAGATAACAAAACAATGCACCATTGTTGTAACACTCAATGATGCCGGGTTTATTACACCCACACATAAAAACTTTGAATTGAATGACTGAATGCATTTCAAATCACAAAGCAGCAATAGGGCATGGAGAGATACAGTAGCAAAGGCTCCAAACTATTTATGACCATAGGAGCATCTTGGACATAGAAATAGATATATAAATACATGTTTTTAGCAGGTTTTATTTGTAAGTCACCCCACCAAAGTACATTTGACACAATGGGCCTAGGACTGCTACATGCGCTAAGCATCCAGCGCATTCAGCAGTTAACATGACAGGTTAATGGACTCGTTTTACATATACGGTAGAATCTCGCTAAATGTGAATCTGTCAAGCGGAGCTGCTCTTTAAACAAAACAAATGCCCCTGACATGATCAGTTCAACACCTGAATTCGGCGCCCCTGCTCCTCTCTCAGTAAACGAAGCTGCTCTTTAACAGAAAATATTTTCCTGGTCTCTTCAAATCCTGTATAATGAAAGACTAGTAGGTTATATATCTACTCACACATTCCACCTTTTTTGTAAGCTGCTATAAATGCTTTAAACACTCCTTTTTTTTTCCCAGGTCACAAACTTATTGGAATACCTTTTATTTCATGCTGCCTGTATTGTTTCTGTACCAGTACCAATACTGTATCCCCGACCTGCTACGATTCCATAAAAGGATTTCAGTATTAATAAAAGAAATATATCTGTTAAGAGCCTTGTCAGTTCAATAAGTTCGACACATTTAATCTTACTTTGTATGGCTGTTAGCCGAACAGTTCAAGAATGAGCATAACATGGTTAAACAAATCTTGAGCACAGACAGAAGCAGCAAGCACATACTTTATATCTTCGTAGTCAATTAGCTCCTCTGAGCGACTTTCCACTTAGCCCTTACTAGGGAGATTCTGCTGAGAGCACAAAATAGTCATGAAAGGGGATTACCTTCTCAAAGCCTTACATCCTACACATAGCTGTAGACGAAAGTGCAAGAAGGCATGCAGACAGACTGCTGTCAACGTTGTGTTACTTTTATTCACCGTCTGCGCGTCCATTTTTCCTCCTCTGACAGCTAGCTGCCTTGGCGTGATGCCAGTTTCATCCTCATTAGTGCGAGTCAGAGGTAATGGAAAGCTGCGACACGAAGAGCAGCTGTAGAGGAACGCACACTTGCACGAATAAAGAAAACTTAGCACGCATTTACAACTCATCTACACAACACAGCTTTACATTTTAATACATGTTGGCTATATTTATGAAAGCCTGTTGCAGTGTATTTATTAGCTAGGTAGCTAATAGACAACATGTAGCTAATAGACAACAATAGACAACATGCACGGCTTCACAAAAAAAAAAAAAAACAGCGAGCACTTTTAGGTATTCATTCACAGACTGCTCTATAAAAGGGATCCAATGGAAGTGGACACGCTACTGCTGCATACCAATTAACACAAACCACATCTCACCTTCGGAAGCAAGCATGAACGGCTTTTCCTTCAGGTCCGGGCAATCGACGACAGAAACTTCGACATGCTCGAACGTGCTCTGAAGTCCATCGTTCAAAACTGCGGAGCGTGAAAGAACCGGTTAACATTTGCATACTGGTTACGACGGTGTCGGCTAACTAACAATCTGCAACGGCAAACGGCAGCTTCATCAAGAAAAACACACACGTGCTCAGAGAAGAAACGCGCCTAGTTAAATATAGACACGGGTGCGCGACCTCAAGCGTAATATTAGATGTAAGCACGTTTTTTTTTGTTGTTGTTTTTTTCAAGCTTAAGTGTTTCTTAATCTAGGGTGGCTAGGCAACTACATGTGCACCTACAGCCCCCAGTCGGCAGTTTGAATGATCCTTGCGTTTAACAAATCTTGACCCAACCCAGCATGTGATAAATGTGTTCGTAAGAAGTTCACTCACGAATAGAAACCTGCTTTCTCAGTAGATACATTGACACTCTGCGCCACATTTGGGGAACAAGGTGCACCATTACACATTTTTATTGCTCCTTTGCGTGCGAGCACGATGACGGAGCCCCAATTTAGTACGGCGATCGATACTGCTACGGGCCGTCACATGAACGAGCCACGTATGTCCGCGCCCTCACCTTTGGCGACGTCTTCCAGGCTCGGACAGTGGAGCTGATGCTTGGCGACCTTAGACGTCGGCATCTCAGGCAGTGGCGAGGCCCGTCACGTCGAAAACACACCTTCAAACCGTGACGTTGGCTTACTCGACTCGCCACAAGGCCAACGGCGAAGCAGCTGCGGTTCAACCGGCGTGTGCAAAATGCACACAAACACTCGCTTCTCGGACGAGAGCGCAATCGGCGCGGCCAACGTCGATACGAGGACCTTTTTATCGCGCTCAGGTCATGTCACGGGCAGTTTTATCACCTAACGGAGCGGCGACGCCTCGCTTTCTTAGAGAAAGTGGCCGGGCGGCTAAACACTACACAAAGTGCAGAAAGCAAGCGCGACAACTTGTTGCACGGCGCCGGCTGTCGCGCTGACGTGCGGCTCCAAATCGTTCAATCAAACGCTAAGCAGTCGCCCGAGCCAAACCCACTTCTTCCAATGCGAAACTGGTAGATCTCGGGGTTTTCTGTGCCGCGGCGATGATGATAGCGAAGTTGTTCGGTTTCGGTTTCGTAGCGCCCTGAGTAGCAATGGCACCGTGCGTTGGCTTGTTGGTACGTCTCTTTAAAACTTTGTTGTAGCGCCGTAAAGGAGGTCATCCGGAATAAAAAAAAATGTAGCGCCGTATGTCGTCTTACATTTCTTTTCCGCGTGTCCGTGTCCTGTGCTGCGTTATAACCAAGCTTAAGAATGGCACTGCAAAAATGTGAACACTCACGCAAAAGAACAATGCAGATAAGGATGAGCCCTGCTATCGGCTGTTTACGACACGCATATGTGTTAGGTCTCCTTTATCCAGGAAAATTACAAGAGCCCCAAAATAAAAAAAATTACTTGTTAATTGTACGAAGCCATGCTTGGGGCCACAGGGTTCAAGTGGCCGATCTCTGTTAATTGAGCAAAAAAAATTGACAGTCTTTAATCACTGTCTTCAGTTCCATTTTGCAAAGTTGGCGCAAGAAACATTGTGCATATATGCGATTTCTTGTTAATAAATAACGCTTGGAAGGCCACTTGAGTAGTGTTGCTCCAAGATCTGCCTAGAATTCTGGTCTCACAAAAACATTCTTAGCAACCACACGCTGAGGTTTGTCCAACCAAAGCACATACTTATCAACCATTTTTCTCCATTTTGTTCAAATCAAAGGCAGGCATCACCGTTCAAAGGCGCCAAAGGCAGGCATCACAGTTCGAGAACATTATCAAACATTATGAACACCACAGTCTGACAAGCCGAGCACATATAATATCGCCTTGAACTGCAAATTCGGCGCACAGATTAGCTTTGATTTTCATGAACATTTATATTCTTGCAGGTTATCGCAAAATCACTTGTGGTATTTCCAACACAGTTCAACAGTGGTTCATTAAAAGCCTGTACGAATCTACCACTTTTGATTTGTGAAAGGAAGTTTTAAAAAGCTTTGAATATGCATACTTTATTCTTCACACTTCATCTTGAGTAAGTGTTATGCCTAAGATGGTGCCGAGGGTCCCTACGCTCATTCAAGTGTTCAACTGTTTCAGTATGCTCTTATGAAAATAATTTAAATAAGTTAAATAGGTGCAAAATGAATGTGCATGTGCTCAGGAATATTGAAACTTTTCAGCACACTTTTGTCCTTAACTTACTAGTTCCATGTTATGTTGTTGCAGTGAACCTCTCTCTCTTGGTAGGGCTTATTGTTTTCCTTTCAGACTGCTATGCAGTAACTAATGCTATTACATAGTTTTCTTGAGAACCCTAACAATAAGGCATAGGAAAATGTGACATTAAGGAAAGTACTTGTCAAGTGGTGACCAGTGTTATAAGAAGAGGCCAGTATATTTGGCAGCACAGAACTTCATTTTAAGTATATAGAACTGTAAATATAGGCACCATAAATTTTTAAATAAGCTAATAATTTCTATCAAGGATGAGCCCAACCTATATCCAAGACAGGAAAAGCAAATCCCCAATAATTTGAATTGGCACAAGAACACCAACAGTTGATCATTGTCACTTGCTTGTCCTAACGCTGCCTTGTGCATCTGCAGCGTAGCATAGGAAGTTGAGTACCCAATGTATAAGCAACACACTCTTGGATATAACTTTTTTTTTTCATGGCTAAAAAACGCTTCGAAACAATTCTAAAATAGGAGGCCTTTGCCCATTGAAGCCCTACTGAGGCATGTTGACGAGATGCAAATATTTGCATTAAAAATTTACCATTAGAGGCAATTTCACGCATTCTTGATATTGAAACTATTACCAACGAAGGTGAAAATCTCATGACGGAAAACAGCAATGAAAAGCTGTGTGAATTTTATCCCTGAAACTGCATACAAAAACAAAACTGAAGGTGAGACAGTATTTACATGGCTGCTGATGTTTAGTATAGGCCTTACAGGCACCGGAGTCAGCATTGGGTCTATAGAGGCATTATAAAAACTGTACAGCATATCTCAGTGACACTAAATTCATGCTCATACATCAAAAAGGCTTGATACTAAGGAAAGGAAAAAGATAAGCATTTGTAGAAAATCCAGTCGCTAGTTGCATCAGATTAAACACCGAGACATAGAAAATATCTTGGAGCTTGTGTATCACCATGCATTATGTAATCCATAAAATATACTTAAGTACTGACACTAAACAATAACTGTAAGTTATTATTATGCCACATAAAATGAGTGCTCACATTACTTGCATAGCAATCAAAGGACATGCATCAGTCGTAACAGTTGGTCCCCTAAACTTTGTGCTTTGTGCAGTGACAATAATTTGCTTGTGAACGAGTAGAAAGGCAAATATGGCTTCGCAAATGGAAATGAAAAGAAATAGTGTAAACAACAAGGGCAGCACTTGTTCAATATTGAAAAGTCTTATACAGCTCGTGAATGCAGAAAAAGCACTAACAATACATAGAAGATCATGTTTATTTACAGGTATGCATAAAAATTTATATTCATCTGTACAAAAATGAGTAACATAGCATAGCGCTGCTTCATCAGCCTTCTTGTGGTTCTTCTCTGTTTGGAGTGCACTGTAATTACAAAATATCTCATCATATACATATCATATACATATTATATCTACAGATGAATTGTACAACTGTACAGATGAATATAATATGTAAAGATGAAACATAAACTTGGAGGACGTGAATGATTATATATATGAATGGTGGAACTGACGAGAAGTACAACACATGTATTAGCTTGCAATCGTGTATTGTGCGCTATATTGCACCCGTAATATTGAAGCTACCTACAAGCATTCATGCCTAGGTCTAACGAATGCCTCTTTTGGTCTAACTAATCTTCACTCCAGCTGTGAATGAGCAGAATACCAGAATAACCTTAAAAATTATATATCACAATTCAATAAAATGATTGAAACCAAAAAAAAAAATACAGAACTAATAGGAATTTGTGAGACAAAATGAGCAGAATTGCATGCCAAAAATTACCCTTGCACTGGTTGGTGTAACAAAGAAGATCAAGTTAGGAGAACTAGAATGTTCCTGATGTAGCCAAATGTTCACATACTTCAAGATAGAAAAGGATAAAAAAATTGGGTGTATTGGTAAAACAATACTTAAATTTCAGTGAAAAACTTGCTGTTGTACTGTGCAGTGATTTTCAGTCAGCATACAAGACAGAAGACTTTCTCTTCTTTCGTGCACAAGAGAGTTTTTTGGTGGGTAAGTACTCACATAATACTCGACAAAGGTTGCAGTGCCTTCTTCAGTGCGTATGAGAAACTGGAAGCATATAAGTCCGAGCTGGTCTGTGCGGATGGCCACTTTGCTGGACAAATTGAGAGCCTTGATGCATTGCTTCATGAGGTTTATCTTGTATCTGAACAGAAGGATAGGCTACTTCAATCTTTTAACACTCACTATGGTGAAACAAGAATGCAAAAAAAGACAGCATGTGAAAGATGTTCTAAACAGAGACACTGAACAAATATAAAGCCCGCAGACTTTCAAGATTTTATCGCCTTGGTGTACATTTTAACAGAATAGTTGTGGGTACTCGAAACAAACAGCAATGAAGAAGGCATGGCAGTGATTTTTTTTTGTTTAGAGCTTCCTTCAACACCAGTTTTCTGAGGCATACATGCCCAATTTATTTCAATAATTCATCCTCCAACACAGTACACAAGCAGCACGAAGCATGGAAAAGCAGATTGAAAAGAAGTCCAGTTTTATGTTGCCGGTACTGTTCCTACGACATTTATGCTGCTAGTTTGGCTTGCTTTGGAAACGCGTTTTAACTAAACTCGTCAGAAGTCAGCATATCTTTCTAGTGTCCTTTATTCAATCTCATATCGAAGACTGCCTGTGGTCACTTCTAGTGACCAAGAGATGAAATTAGTTGACATGGAATTTTGTTTGCATAAGATCTGACAAAACATTACAAATACTGAAGTTATCTCGAATTCACAAACTGTACAATGCAACAACGAAAGTTGTTGTCAGCACAAGAAATACTAATAGCAAATTGACACAGTTCAAGAATGGACAGGCATTCGAGTTTTTAAATGATGCAGCATGCCGTAAGATGCACTGAAAATTGTGCCTTCATCAAACACTAAAAAAGAAAATTTGCCAAGCACAAAGGCACACAAATTACTGATGTGGCATTTCCAACATGTTACTCCGTCACCAGCAAATAGGGCAGTGTCAATGAAGTATTTTTCTGTGCTGCATTGACAACTGTTTTATTGACAAGAAACACAATGCATACTTTTGTGCCCATTTAGATAGGTATGTTCTTCATAACAGCACATACTAAGTGGCTCGGAACCATTCGATGAAAGTGTGAATACATGGAGGGGACGTACAGGAGAGCTGGATAAATGTACGGTCAGTTTTCTACTTAGCGTCTTTGAATATTGTACCGAGTAAAGTGATGTTGCAATTAGCTGGAAGCAGATATATATATGTAATGTGACATGGCAGCGTTTTAACGCAAATCCCTTTGAACCTAAATTCCTATCTCAATATAACACAAGCACAACATGAAGTGGAATGCGCTGCATGTATGGCTATTGCCAAACAAAAAGTAAAAGCTGACTCGTATATCATGACTAACCAGCTGCCGTGGTCTAGTGGTTGTGGGGCTTGCTGACCAGAAGGTCGTGAGGTTGAATCTCAGCCGTGGTAGGCCCATTTCAAAGCATGTAAAACACTAGCAGCGTGCTTGCTTACATTAAAATGGGCATTTAGGAACCCCCGGTGGTCTAAATTACCAAAGCCTTCTACTATAAAGTCTCTATTTTTAATCACATCGTGGCTTTTGGGCATGTAACGCCGACAAATATTATATTATAATTAACAACTGCCTGGCTTTAAGGCATGGCTAAGGAACGTACACTAGTGGAATGTACACTGCAATACAGTGTAAAGTACAGATTGGATGACATTAATGCTCTATATTCATTTCAGAGCCGAGAACACTTTTTTGAGCGTGGTCAGAAAATGCTGCCGATCAGTAGTCGAGGCTCCTGAGAACACGAGAGCCAAATATTATAGCACAGCACACAGCCTGAAGTTCACAATAAATTCTTAAAGTCAGCTAAAAACTGCTTTCTCTTCTTCCAACAAATCATGCTGCAAGCTTAAAAATGACTCATCACAGCCATTGGCTGAGTTGAGCACGGTGTGCTCGGTCGTTACTGGGGCCGTTACGGGAGGCCAACTCTTTTCCACATGAGCGCATGCAATCACACTGAAAAGCCACGTACTCGGAGAAACAAAAAAGAGAGAGTGCTCAAGGTCACAAGGCGCATGTGACATATTTTCTCTCCTCGTGTCATCCCTCCCTTAGCTTCCAGCGCTTTTGTCGGGAAGAGAGAAGAGAGAATGCAACCACAGTGTGTGACAAATATTTGTAACTCAGCTCATACTGGACTTAAGGGGACTGAATGCTGGGCGAGCTGGTAATACACAACTGCAAAAACTGCGCCAAAAAGACACCAAAGCACAGAAGGCACACACAGAAGCCGAGGGGCGTGTGCCTTCTGTGTTCTTGTCTCTCTTTTAGCGCAGTTTTTGCAGTTTGTACTGGTCGAATTCTAAAAATTTTTGAGGTGGTGAACTCGTGAGGCAATAAGTTCCCTAGTGAATCCACTCCATGACTACTTGAATAAGCGTTGCAGGGCCCCTTTAATAGTTCTCTCTTAGGAACACAATCACTTTCACAGCGAATCACACACTGGATGCAGCATCGGACTGTCAGTGGCAATGCTCGTTATCACATGCTTACCACGTAGTCATGCACAAACAATACTGTCAGCTATAGATGCTGATGCATCTCCTGAATATAAACAGTCAAAAGTATGATCCCTCCATACCAGCACTCTTCTGAATAATCTAGTACCTTCCTTTTAGTGTCATGCTATCACACTCAAAATAAGCAGTACTGCTTTGTACAGAGGTCCCAGTCACTCACGTGTTTCTCTGCTCTGTCTTGCACTGAAATGACTCCATGAAATCCGACTCCTTAGAGTAAGACACCTGCATAATGTGCGACAAGCTCCATTACACAAGGACAATGTTTGTATTGATAAAATTAACGCAATAAGAACATTCACAGGAGACCATTGACACTAAAAGATTGAGTCTCAATTTAACCAAAGCCATCAAACAAGGGACGCTTGAGCTTGGTGTCAACAGTTTGACAATGGGGCTTATCTTCACCAAGGCAAAGGCAGGACATGTCCATTTGTTTCTGAAGCACTATAGGTCTAGTGAGAAAATTTTCTTGTTCATGCATATTTGATACTGTTACCATGGTGCATTACCATACAGTAGACTCCTGCAAAACGAAGCCAGAAGGAACCAGGAAAATGTGTTTTGTTTAACAGGAGTTTCGGATACTGAGAGATATACAGGAGTGCACAATTCAAGTACAAAACTAATCATATTAGTTAGAGACAGTTGTCCTATTTAAGCAGCAATTTTGCTTAAGAGAGTTTCTTGTACTGAGAGCCAACTGTATGAGGATTTGCATAATGTAGAAATATCTAGTTTGTCAATAATAATCTCCACGCTGCTCAGGTTAAAAAAATGTCTTAACTTTCAAAGACTTTGGAAGTAGAGGCTGTAAGGCTTCAGTTAAGATGCGCGACTAAATGTGTGCAGAATTGTGCTTGTTGAGGTTCGAAAAATGTCTTAACTTTCGAATACTTTGGAATTAGTGGCTGTAAGGCTTCAGTTAAGGTGCGTGACTAAATGTGCACAGAATTGTGCTTGTTGATGCGTGTGTAAAAAGAACAAGCAGAGCAAGGAGCATGAAAACAGATTCTGTGCAGCAAGCCAACTTATCTTTTCTCTTGCACATTTGCAAAGAACGATTGCAGCTGATTCCCTGAAATGTCTATTTGTCATGCAGGTATACATAGACATATCTGTACACAAGGATATTTTTTTCAGAAATCTAATATTAATTCTCAGTGTTCTTTTTTTCAATTCTCAGTGCTCTTTTTGAGCCCATAAGAAATTAACATTCCAATTACTACTGCTTAATAATAATATGAAAATTGAATTTAAGGAACTGTTTTCGTAAAAAAATGAAGAAGCAGTACATCCACACCCACACTTTTTAGGGTATAAGCAAACGTGAGACGTGTGGAATGGTCCAAATGAAACAATTTTCACCAGAACTTACTTCGACAGTGCCTGCAGCTCCAAACGTGCTCAGCCTGAAGTAAGGCTCGTTTGGAGATATGAAAACTTCCATGTCTTCACTGGAAATATCGAGCTCAGACCAGACCTCCTTGATACTTTCAGACTTCAGGATGACGACGTTAATCACGTTGTCTCTTGACAGGTCGAAATTGACAACACCTTCGGATTCGAGCGTCCGTATCTTGCAGTCAGTCACAACACCGCCTTCTTCAAGGCTAAAAGAAACAATGGTTAATACATCTCGTTTAACTGCTTTAAGAAATGTCAGCCGAACGCTTATAAAACATCGCCCGACATGAGAGCTAAACAATAATTAGCCATAGTCCATTTCTCTATATTGATACTACTGAAGTCATCAACAAGTCAAGAATGGCGTAATGCGCAGGATGTAAAAGCACCATGTACGCGACATGACTTACTTGCAGGCAAACTGACTCTTTGGAAGATGAAGTGCTCAGGCTACTACCGTATTTAAAGAGGTACGTGACAAAGCTTATTGGTATTATTTCATGACCGCAGACACGAAAATAGAAAGACAAAAACAGGGCCAGCGCTTCGACCTGTTTGTTTCTTTCAGTGTCTTCGTTTTTTGCGCTGTTTTGCAGTTGTGAAGTTACTATTTGGTTCATTATCTACTTTCCCGGCCTGCATTGGCATTACATTTCACAGAAAAATTCTTGTCTCATCGTCTAAGCACCAGAATCATTGGTTTACAGTGTCAGAAGATGGTGGTAAGTTGTCAAATTGGCTGATTGGGCAAAAAAACGTAGTGATAAGCCCCAAGTGAAAGGGGAGTGGTACAATAATGTTTCAAACGATGTTTCAAATGTCTCTTTCACCAAAAAAAAAAAACAACCTTTGCAAAGAGTCACAATATGTCAAGTGCTGGGGTCATACGAAAATGTTAGCCTGACCCCATATCTGAATTTGTGTGCTAAGAGCTAGGAGAACAGCAGTGCAAACTCACAACATAACAAGAGGATTGCCTTGGCCTCCGTAGCAGAGTCGTGTCGAAACAGGTCCCCCCATGGCACCAAACATCGTGAGACACTCCTGAACACAGTGAGAGAGTGAAAATTTTAAGAGACAAATGAGTTTGTGAGACAGCAAATGCAAATTTGTCATTGATGAGAAAATTGAGCCCTGAAGACCTGCACAGTGCGACTTGTTAACTTGAAATTAATAAACAGATAGTGTACCATTATGTTCCATCTGGATGGGACTTGTGTGGCTGCCATTTTCTTATAACAGTCACAGCAATTAAGTGAACCTGAATTTGTATACAATATAGGTACTATTGCATCATTGTTTCTTTGCAATCAGAAAAGCTTTGCTAATGTGCACAAATAGCATTTCATGCCATATAAGTATGACTAGTCCGAGCATCTGTTGTACAACAATCAAAACCCCTAAATGTTTGCAAAATGTAATATCTGCATTTCAAAACTTTGTTTAACCTTATGGTGTTTAGCAGGCATAGATTTAATTCATTATTATTTGCCTAGCAAATAGGGTTTTACTGCTCATGTTTTACAGCCATTTATTTTGCCTGATGTCCAATCTGTCAACGTTTTAACTGAAAAGTTGCACACCCATATACAATATACACATGGTAGTTACCCTCACCCATCAGTGCTGTTATTGTTGCAAATACACTTATTTGAGTGAGAAAATGCACATTCATCGTTATGGCTGGCAATAGACTTCTAAGGCTTATTTTGTTTACAGAAGAGCAGCTCACCACTGCAGATGTTCAAAGAGATTTCCATTTATTAATATGTCATGCAGAAATAAATTATCCTTAGATAGAATAGCCAAGCAGTTTCTCTGAACAAACCAAATACATTGCATTTAGGCATGCGAGCCGTGTTTCCTGCAACAGTAAGTTTCTGGTGCAGCATTTACCCTATTTACTCTTATGTAATGCAAGTTTTTCTCCAAACTTTTGCTAACTGAAAGAAATTTTTATGTTACAACGGAATATTGAAATTTGAATTGTCTAAACGTGCAATGGTTCACAAGATTCATTTCCATTTTATGTTTTTTTTTCCTGGAGGCAATGTACAGCCACCCTTCGCATTATATTCGAAAAAAATTGATAACCTCTTCTTTGCACAAGTCTTCTGTCTTCAAAAGTGTGCTAAAAGAAAGACAGAAAAAGGTGACTTTGAATCGCAGTTTCTTGCACAGAACTTTTCGAAGCGCCAGGATAAAGGATAAGCTTTCACAGTAGTGTCATCTGACTTATACAGATGAAAGAAAATTAGTTGAGGTGAGAAGAAATGAACTTCTAGGTAGTGCTGATGGCCGCCAAAAGATTCCTTTTAACCATCCTCCATCACACCTCCTATAATATCAACATTTCCTGATAAATATGTTTTAAATCTTTCTGGTAATGCATTTAAATATATTTTTTCGTTTTCACAGGATCAAACAAGTTTTTAAAGGATGGTGAACAACGAAAGAACATGTTCTGTAGCATTAAAGTCTAATAAAGCAAATTGAACCAGGAAATTATCAAGGTTTCTTCTAATTTATTTGCAAATACTGGTATTCTGATGTCTAGGCCATGGCAGAACAGTACAGCATAGAAAAACTCAGAAAAGACATGAAAATATTCAGTACCTTTCTGGTATTAGACACTTCTTTCGCATATAATAAATACGATTATATTTCACGTATAATAAATACGAAGCGAGGCGGCACAGCAAATGTTAAATGAAGCGAAAATCAGTACACTTTGTAATGTTCCTGGTACGCAGCTGACATTGTGGGCGCAGGCGTAACACTCAAGTAGTCACTACCAACATTTTATTTATTTTTTTCTTTAAACGTTACTTCATGTCTTGTGCCTACGAAAACGTGTAACGATATTGAAGATCGAACTGTAGTTGTCTCACTTAGCAAGAGAGCAGGATATCAACACCTTACCAGCCAGATAGACAAACTGATGTCGAAAGAGAGCGTCGGTTCCTTCAGAGAGTAATTCTCAAACAGCTCTCGTTGGACGAAAGCAATAGCTTGGACGCATTTGCCCTCCTGAGCGATCACTCGGATTCCCATGTCGTTGATCTCCACCGTGGCTACCTGATGAGATACACAACGGCAGAACGACGCCCAAACTTCAAAGAGGGCACGAAGAAAGTAAATCAACAACGTAAGTTAACTGAACGCACGAGGTTCTTACGTACTTCTTTGATGCTGATTGCTCTGAGAAGTTGCGAGAGGTCCTTGGCATTGTCGAGCTTGGCGATAAACGAATACTCGACCTCAGCCAGACTGCTCTGATCTTCGCTCATGTTAAAATTAGTTTCGCTAGAGACTGGCTCGTAGAAACGATATAACTATGCGGATCGCGCAAAAAACTCTAACTCAAAGTTTCACACACTACAATCAGCAACATCGCAACAATTTGCCGCCACTCAGTCAAGTAAAACGCGATTGGATTGGATAGGCTCGCACGATGCTTGACTGTAGCCAAGATGACCAACATAACTTTGAAGCCAACTAAACAAAATGTATTATAAATCAATCCGTACAAATACAAACATACATTTGAAATAATAATTTCAGCACGTAATGTTTGAAATTTGAAGTCGACAAATTGGTTCAGATAAATGCCATCAGAGAGCAGCACCAACGCCACTTTATCGTAAGCGCGCATTATTCAAACGCAGATGCGGCAGAACACGCAACTTAGCCCTTCGAGTGTGTTGCAGGCTATCTAAGTCACCAAGCTTTCTACGTCAATGTGGTTCGTTTCTAGACTACCCATGTGCAGCGAAAACCATAGAGTCAGCAACGTTTGATTGCCCCACGCGAATAAGGCAGAAGCTGCGTTAGCCGAGAACACAGCATAAAGGGGCCGTAATGTAGCTGGGCTCAATAGTAGATGCATGGCTAAGTAAGGCACGTGGTTGTTTCATGGATACTCTTTAGTTAGTGGCGTAGTCAGAAATATTTTTCGCGAGGGGGGTTCAACCCATTCTCCACCTTGTTAGATCGTGTTTCGTTCATGTGTTTGCATGGGTACATGCACATACAAACGCATAAAATTGACAAATTTCGGAGAAGAAAAGAGTTGACGCCACTGCCGTCCCTGGCTACGCCATTGTCCTCAGTTGTAGCCGCAAGCACCGAACCCTCTTGCCGCTGGCTGAAGAGCCCTACTATTCTGACACTCATTGGCCCCGTGTTCAGAATACCGTTTCTTTACAACAAACATATTTAAATGCGAAGCATTTCTAAGCGAATTTCGGCGACTTCGAGCGTATCTATCTATCTATCTATCTATCTATCTATCTATCTATCTATCTATCTATCTATCTATCTATCTATCTATCTATCTATCTATCTATCTATCTATCTATCTATCTATCTATCTATCTATCTATCTATCTATCTATCTATCTATCTATATCTATCTATCTATCTATCTATCTATCTGCCTACGACTTTTAGCTTTCCTGGCCGTTTCGATAGTGGTATCGATACTAATCTTGGTATGGCATAACATGACTGTATGAAGAACATATTCGAATAGTCATAACATGAAAACCATGTCATGTATGTCATGAATATCATGATTTACATTTCATCACCCTGCAGCTCTTGCGGTGGTTTCGTTCACATGACATGTTGCAAAACCGGTATGGTATGGCGTGATTGCATGGCGTACACGAGCGACAGACCCTGACATGAAAATCATAAAATTCTTGTCATGTAACAACATGACTACATGCCACGCTCACGATGGGCTCGCGACCGTTTCGCTAGCGTCACATATACCAAATTTGGTATTACGGTACGTGAATGGGTGACGAAGGTAGGATACTGGTACAAACGTGATAAAGATGAGATGCGTGTCATGTAACAACATGACTACATGCTGGTACAAACGTGATAAAGATGAGATGCGTGTCATGTAACAACATGACTGCATGCTACGCTCATGATGCGCTCGCGGCCGTCTCGCTATTTTCACATGTACCGAACTCGCTATTAAGCGACGCGAACGGACGACATGGGTAAATGACACATCCAAACATGATAATCACGACATGCGTGTCATGTAACAACACGGCTACGTGCCACACTGATGATGTGCTCGCGGCTGCTTCGCTAGCTTCACATTTGGTATTACGTGACGCCAACGGATGACGAAGGTATATGACTGGTGCCAACATGATAATCGTAAGATACCTGTCATGTGAGAACATGACTACAGGCCACAGTCAAGGTGCCAATGCATTTCGACGTGACGTGGTTCGCATGCTCGCCGGCGTTGCCATGCCAGGCACCGGTCCTCTCATATACCAACACCACCTAGACTATGAATAGTCTAGGTGGTGTTGCATATACTCGCCGGTGCGCGCCACGCTTCTTTGAAGCGTGCGCGTTTCAGCGCGTACGGCGTCCATCCGTCACGAAAACAGGGAGACGCAGTGTTGTCTGGGTAACGCATAGGCACGAAATGCAGCAAGTTGCATTTCGCGCCGGTTGCCGTTGGGCCGCGCCGACGGACGCTGGTCACGCCTGGTGTCAGACTATAGAGTGCTCGCGTTTTGCTAGCGTAGCGTCGCTGTGCCCAGCGTGCGCACACCTCAACGCTACATTGGAGTATATTGGGCCCTTCATAATGTACTTGTGGCCGTTTTGCTAGCTCCACATATAGCAAACGCAGCGTTATGTGTTGTTAATGCATGACGAAAGTATAAGACTGGTGCAAACATGATAATCCTGACACGCGTGTCATGTGAAAACATCACAACATACCACGCTCATAGCGTGCTCACCTGTTGCGCTAGTTCCGCATATACTAAATTTGGTATCACCTGACGTGAATAGAAGGCGAAGGTAAACGACACATCCAGACATGATAATCATGACACGGAAGTCATGAACGGTATCATATACCTCCACCTCGTAACGTTGTTCTGATTTTAAAGTGGCATATTAACATATCTCATTTATGCTTCGCATATCATCGATTCCCACTGTACGTGGGATCTGCCTTTTTTTTTTCTGCGTGCCTCGATGATAACGAGAGACCGTTCTTTTGCAGACGTCATGTAAAATAACACCAAGGAAGTTCGTATGCCGTATCATTCACAGAACTCAAAGTGGGCATTGGTTGTCAGCTTTGGAAGATACATCGTCATTTTACGTGTAATAGGCCTTTCAGTTAGCTTTGAGACCTGTCATCGCATATTCAGTACTTCTTTCTTTTTTTCTTTCTTTCTTTTTTTCTTTCGTTCTTTCTTTCTTTCTTTTTCGATGTAACTTATATCAGGTAACATGTGTTCGTAGTACCAATGCTGCATCCCTGTACTTTCACAGTTCACAATGCACTGTCACAACCTCAGTGCGTGCTTAAACAAGGGATGTTGGAAAGGAGAGCCATAGCCATGGGTCGGTAAACTCACGAGTCCATTCACTCACACACACTCAGGGTAGGATTGAGTGGTGAGTCTGGATGAGTAATATCTTGGCGAGTTCTGGTCCGAGTAAGTCAGGTTGAAAAAAACCTATTGAGTGTGAGTTGTGAGTGTTCTGTTGAAGAAATATATAATTCTGAGGCCAAGTGAGCCCTAAGAGCGAAATGTAATTCTTGAATGAGTACGAGTGAGCTCTACACCTTTTTGCCAATCTATGTTTTTATTTACTCAACTTCAGCCTTCCTCTCAGCTTTGTGTAGGCTCACGTGTATACCCAAGCCGACTCACACATACTTCAAAGCACAGACGCTGATACGCCAGCTCAATATTTACTGATCAGAGAAATCAATTACGGAGGAGGGATGAGGGGCGTGCCATAATCTCCCTCCCCCCAATCATAGGAAAGTCTTTCCTGGGAATATTGATAAAAACATTTCATGTGAGTCATCTCTTTCAATAAAAAAATTACTTACCAGCGTACCACCACCAATAAGTCATATTTGAAGGTACGACATCAAGCGGGGCCAACTACGATTACGCGAGATATTCGTGTTAAACAGTATTGACGCCATGTTCGAGCACTTTGACTCACTCGGACTCGGGCAGAGCCGTAAGTTTGCGTGAGTTCAAATGAATAATATTTTGGTGTATTCAAATCTGAGTGAGTCCCGAAGGCAAATTATATTTTATGATTGCGTATGAGTGAGCTTCACATTTTCTGCCGACCTACGGCCATAGCCGATGGGGTTGCAGTGGTGGCCAACCACCTCGCCTACGGCATTAGTCTACGAGTCATATAAAATCGCTTTGTCAAAGACGCGTCATTGACTGAACCAAACTGGCATGCTGATGCTAACGCGATTGGTCATACTTAACGCCGATGCGCAAAATCTTCAGTAGCTTCGGAACTTCTAAAATCTTCACTCTTCCGACAAGCGTGCTTTGACGTTAGCACTACAACACTGCAGTGAAACGCAACCTAAAAAAAAACTGACACATTTCACAAGGAACGAGAGAAAACGGAGTTTATGAAAATGTGCATTGAATAGCGTGGTAGCTTCATTAATAATAAAATGTATGAAAGCCGCAACAACAAACCACACTTGGCTGCAACTCACTAAGCCACTTTTTGTCACATCGTATGTGCGTCAATAGTAAGTCGGGGTGCATGTTTCGATGCATTGCGATAAAACACGACACCACCTACATAACTAAGAAATGTTGTTCTTGCAAAAAAACCAAATCACTTGACATAATGAATTATGCTGCAAAATATAACGAAATAACTAATATTTGACTTAGTTTTCTCAGTCAAACAACCGACTGAAATGAGCATATCAGACTGGATAAGACCAGGATAACCAGCGCGTATGTAAGAAAACAAACAAAATTACGTCTGGTGCGAAGTATATTGAATCAGCAACTAGCTTGTGTGCTTTATCTCGCTCCACTTTTTCCTTTCAACAAATGCATCATATCTCGCGCTGTTTATATTACAAAGTTTTACGTGGTGGCAGCATGGTTTTATAATGCACCATAGCCGACAAAATGTCGCAGTCATCCGTGTGCTTATAAAAACGAGATTGTAGTTGTTTAAACGCGATGGTGTAAAAGAGCTCGTTTCGCTGAAATTGCGGCGTAGACGTTGGTTTCGGTGTCGTTAGTCGTGGGTGAAACATCGGCGTTGGCCGTGACTGAAAACTCGAGATGTTTGCAAATAAATAAATAAATATCGAAAAGAAACATTTAGTCCGAGCAAAAATGAAACCTAGGCCGTGTGAGGGACAAGCAGGTCTTCAACCACGAAGCCACGCCAGCATATATACCTGCCTCGCAAAAAAAAAGAACGCTCTAAATATCTCATAAAATGGGAGGAGTCTTCCTAACGCATGTTATATTGCGTGGTATAATCGTGGGATCGAACCAGGCGTCAAAAATGCGAATTTCAAAACGAGTAAGTGATTTACAGACTGCCCACTCATTACAAAGTTCGGAGCTACGCGTAAAACCTTTAACCCTTTAATGCCTGAATTACGCAACCAGCGAGCAAAATAAAAGTTGTTTTCCTTTTGCAGCTTTAAGTAGCAACCTTTAGATGATTCCGCAGTTGAACTATCTGAAATTGAACTTAACAGCCAATTCTCCAGATGACACAGAAGCGAGGATCTTGCGACAAAAAAACGTGCTTCAGAACTACGTAACATGTTGTGTGCCACCTCTTGAGTTCGCACACACCAATTAAACAAAATTATTTAACATAGAACTCTCGTCACTAAAGCGAGAAAAAAAAAACGAACATGTGAGAAGTTGTTGCATGCGCTTGGCACTCTCCTCGATAAACTATAAAACAATGGGATCCAGCTTAAAGTGCCTTGGACGAGACTGCGTTAGATTTTTCATGCTGAAAGCTACATGCCAAGTGAGTACTTAGCAACTGGCAATAAAGGTGGCACGCGTTTCGCGACGTATATTTGATCGAAGTATTTAAGTATGTCGCGAATTCATGACATCGGGCAGTAAAGGGTTAATAAGGTCGCGCAGTGGCTAGTTTGCCAATTCGTAAAAAGAGCAATTATGGTACAGTGAGCACTTTGCAACTGCCCTTGCAGTAGGCATCCTAGGATATATTGAAAGGATCGGTGTTACGCGCAGAAACATTCTTGCGACACTGTTGAAGGCGAATGTGCACGGGGTCCAGTTACACTGTCACGTTCTGCTTTTGTAAACAGGAGCTCAAGCGTATCCAAGTTTTTGTTCCACCTTTATCAGGCAAATATTCTAGAATAAAAAAAAAAGAACTCGCAAACACTGTTAGGCTCGAGAAACATGAGATGTGAGACTTTTCTCAGTTAATTTTAAAAAATGGCATATCTGTCGGAGCGTGTTATCAGTTTCCCGCATTGCACACGTGATGTGTCCCTCCACTTCGTAAGCGGACAAGCGACGCGAACGACTTAAGAAGAACTTAGAAGTGTGGCAGCTTGGGCTAGCTGGTATGACATGACGACAGTTATAGCGCGAGAACAGAACGACGACAAAGAGACACGAAGGACATTCCAAGATTTTGTGTCTTTCGTGTCCTTCTTGTCTCTTTGTCGTCGTTCCGTTCTCGCGCTCTAACTATCGTCTTACTAAAACAGCGCGCGCGACTGGTAAGCCGAGTTCGTTTCATAAAGGGCACAGTGCACCGAAACGACTTGACAAGCACGGTGAGACTTCGCGTGAGGGGAAAAAACAAAAATTTCATAAAAACCAAATGTCGCGCCGGGGATCGGTGTTAGGCGGGTGATTATGGAACGAACTGTTAAAACAGCAGCGGGAGGAGTACGAACGAAGGAGGAAAAAAAACGTAAAAAGAGAAAGGTGTCTACGGCCGCTGCAGGGCTTTCTCAGAACTCTAGGCTCGCGTCTGGATCATCAATCAGCCGTGCGCGCGTCACACTAGCAGTAAGAAAAAAAAAAGAGGAAAAGAAGCATCTCTCTGTCAGTCATCAACGAGAAGCGAGTCTCACGCGGAGCGCTGCGGAAGCCTCAGCGTCGTAACCCGTCGTAGCTTCGGCGTCGTGTTCCCTTTCCAGCCAGCAGAACTGAATGCCAAAATGTAGAGAGAACGAAGAAGGGACTAAATGGGAAAACGGAGAGGATGATAGAGAAGCGGACGGCGACTTTCACTGTGCTTCTCGGTGGCAACGCACCAGCGACAAAATTCGACAGAGGTAGTATACAACCTGTGTACGTGCGATGTATATATATGCTGATCTATATGTATAATGCTTTCGATGTGAATGCCATGTAAAAACAGTTGCTGACATGTGTCATGTGCTACTGCCATGTAAGGGACCCTGGGCCTTTGTCAAGCTGCTGCGACAGCTTTCTGCCCGGGTGTCCCTCCAGATTGTTTTCTGGTAAATAAAATTGAATTGAATTGAATCGAATATTCTGTTCAACCAGCTGTCAAAAAGGAACCCAGGGACGGACAGCAAAAGTGTGTGCGTGTGTGTGTGTGTGTGTGTGTGTGTGTGTGTGTGTGTGTGTGTGTGTGTGTGTGTGTGTGTCTGTGTGTGTGTGACGGGCACAGATACAGAGAGATAGAACGATGTAAGAAAGGCAAGGGAAATGTCGAAATTAGAAACGACTCGAGACCGAGTGAAGGCAAGCTATGTAGACAGTGAGAACCATTGAAGCAGTCTCGCGTCAGTGACCCGACGCGTACAAGCAGAACCAACAAGCCGGCCATGACGCAAGCAGAGAAGTCCTTCTCATCCTCTTTCCACTGCCCCAGGCAAGCAGCCTGCTCTCTTCTCCGGCATGCGGTCTAAAGTCTTGATCCCAGCGGTCTTTTCTCTCCATCATCCTCAGCCTCTTCTTTTGTTGTATCGCTCCAACAGAGGATGGACTGCTGAAGAAAGAGAGATACAAATAAACAAACAAGGCCAGCAATGGTCGCCTCTTTCGATGCTCCCCGTCATCGGCGCCCTCTGTACAGCCAGTGCGATGGTGTGGGTGCCGACGCGCCATGACATCACGCAGGAGTCAACGTCGAACCCTGCGACGAACGATGCCGACAGCGGAGGTTCGCCCTAAAGGCCGCCGCCAGTGGCTGCACACGCGTGCCTCCTTCCACGCTACTGCAGCACCACCACCAACACCATATAGCTGGAGGCGCACGCCGCTGTTCCACGAGTCGCTGCAGCGAGGCTCCGACAGTCTTATTTTTGGAGGCCGCGCAGAGCGCGCGCTTTCTTTCTCCCGCAGAGGCTGCCGCACCGGTGGCAGCGACGGCGGCGTGGCACAGCCCACAACAACAGCGACGGGCCGAAAGAGAAAGCCTGCGCTGCCGCAGGTTTTAAAGGGCCGCGCCAGCCAGACGGTCGGGGAGGAAATCTTCGTCCCGTTCCGCGGAGGCCAGTGTGGACCAACACTCCTGCGTTCTCGAAGGTGGTCGTTGTAAAACATTTTCTTCTGGCAAGCCGGCGACGATCACACGTCGCAGAACCCCAGCTGTGTTTGATATGATAGTCGGCTCGCATTTCCGGGAGGGTGACTCGACACGTGCTGGTTCTGTGGGATGCGTAAGTTTTTGCTGTGGACGGTGCCCGGAGAACACCATTTCTTCCAGGGTGCGCCGATGGAACGTCTATAGGCTCGTAGATGACGGATGTATTTCTGGAAGATTCGGGGTATCGCTGTGATTCCGCTGCGGCATTTAGCGTGTTCTGCGAAACAGTGTCTCACAAAGGCACCTGGTCGCATCACTTCTTGAGGTGACAACCATGTTGTAGAAGTTTCTCTGTGCATGTAGATTGGTGCCTCTGAAATTCAAACGAATTTGAACTTTAACCAGCACGCTGAGAAACACAAGTTGGTCATCGCTGAAGTTAAAAACGCCCACCTGGACCGGCGAAGAAGCCTGGCTTTCTCTTGTTCCACGTGCTTTTGGAACTGCTGCCATGAAGCAACGTGTTCGACGGCCGTCTTGAGACGGCCCACAAGAAAACATACGTCACAGCGGTGCTAGACGCATTGCAAGGCCGATGAAAAACGCTTTTCAAAAGCGGAACTGTTCGCTTAGCTCTGCGCGCCATTTTGCTGCTTCTTCGCTGGAAGATGCCAGGCCAACCTAAGGCTCATAGAACGCCTGATCATCGGCCCTATGCGAAGAAAACAACAATGCCATCATCGACCGCCGGAGTGTCAGAGTGAGTGTTTAATTGCGCTGTAATCATGTTCGTATCTTCCGCGTGACTATGACGAGTCGACCGCCTGACCAAGTACACTGCGCCGAACGGTATCAATGGCATCCTTCGTCTTTACTGCCTACAGTTCTCAGACCAGCTTGGTGTGACTGCCTGGTGCAGTGGTGATCGTTATGAGTGCTTCCAGGAGAATATCCGGTGATCGCCGCGATTCTTGGTCGGCACCGGGCACAGCAAGGTTCGTGCTGTTGTTAGCTCCAGTATGCGGGAACCACGCCGTTCATCGCGGTGTTCCAAGTGCCGCTACTACTGCCGGGCCGGTACCACGTCGCTCATGTCGCACTTCGGGCTGTGCAGCCTGGTGGTCGGCTACTGCGTGATGGGCGCGTTCCTCTTCGAGTTCCTCGAAGCCACAAACGAGCGCAACAAGCGGCTCGAGATGATGCGCTGGCGATCGAACCTGGCCGATGCGCTGTGGCAGCTCACGTCTGAGTCGCGCATTCTGGACCAGACCAATTGGACGGGCGAGGCGGTGGCCAGACTGCGACGCTTCGAGGTCACCCTCGTGCAAGCGGTGCGCAAGGAAGGCTACGATGGTAAGGAGGATGCCCAGCTGCAGTGGTCTTTCACTGGGGCCCTCCTGTATTCTATCATCGTCATCACCACCATCGGTGAGTACTTAGGAGCTCCGGAAAGATATTCTGTGCCGTCAATTTTGGTGGAAGCACTGGAGCTCGATGGGCTTCGGGGAGCAGAGTCATATTTTGTGACAAGGACATTTTGTTGGGCAAGAAGGTCTACCGCAGTTGCAAATAAGTAAAACAAAACACACACAAACACATACAAACAGAGAGAGAAAGAGAGAGAGAGAGAGAGAGAGAGAGAAGAAAATTACGGGAGAACACATACTCAGTCTCTACGCAGTGTTTTCATGCATGTGGCCCCACCAGTGGCCCCGTCTAGTGGCTAAGGTACTCGGCTGCTGACCCGTACGTCGCGGGATTGAATCCCGGCTGCGGCGGCTGCATTTTCGATGGAGACGAAAGTGCTATAGGCCCGTGTGCTAAGATTTGGGTGCACGTTAAAGAACACCAGATGGTCGAAATTTCCGGAGCCCTCCACTATGGCGTCACTCATAATCGTATGGTGGTTTTGGGACGTTACATATCAATCAAATGTTATGAATGCGTGTTCATTTTTTCGTGCTTTATTTATTCATAACCATTATTATTCAGCCATTTATAATTCTTACGCAATAAAATGTTGTTACAGAAAAGTATACGGACGAGGGCCCTTCGTCTCTGTATTTTATAAAGCGGGACCCTCGTACGAGAGCGTGTGCCTTTGACAAATCATCGTGGCTAATCAACAGGTTCGTTGTTATAGATGAAGTGCCGGGAAGACATGATCATGATAGGAACGTAACAGTGGCATGCGCAGCTTTTTTTTTGTATTTGACTGCGGCCGAGCTTCGCGAGCTCATAGACATGTTATCGCTCAACGCAAGCTATGCCTAGATGTACAATGAACTTCTTGAATGTTTCCGCTATTCTAATGGTATTGCTCGCCAGCCGAATAGTGGAATAGAATCTAAGTTTCCGAGCACGTCCGCTGAGCTCGAACATAACCCACCCCGGTGATCTATAGCAGGCTATGGCTCTCTACTACTGACCCGAAAGTCGCGGTATCGAATCCCTGCCGCCGCGGCCTCATTTAGATGGAGGCAAAATACTAAAGGATTGTGCGCTAAGATTTAAGAGCATCATTAAAGAAAACCACGTGTACGAAATTTCAGAAGCCCTACACTGCGGCGTCTTTCATTATCCCATCGTGGGTTGTGGTTTGCAGTTTCAACGAGTAACGACACAGAAAGACTTAACATAAGTTGTGAACAAGCATAGTTTAGCCGATATAGCTACGGGCACGATTGCACTCACACTTATAAGTTCTCATGCGGTAGGCTCCTTCTGCCGCAATCGGCCCCATACCCATGGCTCCGGAATATATATATATATATATATATATATATATATATATATATATATATATATATATATATATATATATATATATATATATATATATATATATATATATATATATTCGGATCCTGCCCAAGGCAAGTTATCTTTTCACCCACTTTTCTTTTTTCTCATTTACATTACAAGTGGCCTAATAACTTCCCCTATACCTTCCTTGGCATTATTGTCTGTAGATCTCATTATTATTGTGGAATATATATATATATATATATATATATATATATATATATATATATATATATATATATATATATATATATATACTATATTCGGATCCTGCCCAAGGCAAGTTATCTTTTCACCCACTTTTCTTTTTTCTCATTTACATTACAAGTGGCCTAATAACTTCCCCTATACCTTCCTTGGCATTATTGTCTGTTAGATCTCATTATTATTGTGTGAATATATATATATATATATATATATATATATATATATAACAATACGCTGGCTAGTTGGCTCATAGCTTCTTCGAAAGCGCGGAGCAAGTTCCCGAACATTACTCCACGTCTCTCCACCCCCACCTCCCGTTCCTCCCCTTCTCGTTCGTAACCTTGCGTCAGGTCTCCTCTCAAGTAACAAAGCAAGCGGGATGACGATTACTGTTACGGAATGAGGAGGCTCCCCAAATGACATCCAGTGTATACGGTGGATGGTCACTCGGTATACTTCTGAGCACTAGTTAGTCCCATAAGGACTCCAAACATTATTCGACACCTCGTGTGCTGATATTTTCACTGCAACAACAACGTGACCGCCCATAACTGGTTCTTGAACGGTGGGTTTATCGCGGTGCGGCAGAAAGCGTTTCATGCAAGGCTTGGGCCGCTGGCAGGCTTTCGAAAAAGCCGGGAGCGGGAAAACGCGGCGCCTCCGCGGAACTCGTGCCTCGATGACGACTCTGGGTGATCGATTGTTAAACCGAAATAGCTAGCCGGAGGCCTTCCGTTTTGTATTGTTAGCGCTCAACAACACGCCCCTATGACGGGCCGAAACAAGTCGCTTGCTCGGGCCCATCATAAATTTTTTCCTAGCATTTTTTTTGCCTTCTAACTAAAACTTGTGATAGTTTGATGTTCTCTATGTATTTTAACTGATTTTTTTTGGGTGTGTCCACGAAGTTATCTGTCATAACGTTTTGTATGCGCACATGCAGTTTTGTTTGGTGTGACCAGATTGTTTAAGAAGAGAAAGACTTCTTTACTCTATATATGTGTATATTTACAGTGTCTGTATAGCTACATATGTATTACGTGTAAATGATATTTCCCGCTTCTGTCCATTACTTTTCTCATTGGACCCTACACTAGCCTCAGGCTACGGGTCCAATCAGTGTTTGTAAACCTCATGTGACAAATGATAATAAACGTTCAATCAATCAATCAAATGACAAGGAAAACTCCACTGCGAGCACGTTCCTACGCATTTTTGTGGATGAAAGAAACCCATCATTTTATCGGTTGCAGGTTATACTCTAAATGAAAACTAACAAACAATGAAAGCAACTGAAGCAGTGGGGACGTTTATTCCAGTCTTAATTATGTAGCAGTTATGGCATAAATGTGAAGACATTGAGCTATATACGAAAATTTGCCGTTGGTACACGGACCGAATGTACAAACTTTGGATAACACGTCCGATGATCTGCCATTTGAACTACAACGGTGCACGGAAGCCACTCGAGCCAACTTCATTTCCTTTCTGTTTCGTCTCTATCTCTCGGTGCGTGTAAACGTGGGAGTGTTGTCCGGCCTTTTATTTTTTTCAGGTTGGAATTCATTGATATATGCGGCTCCTCTTTTACGTGTTTTACATAGAGAAGTAGGAGATCAAGACCACGTACTTGCCAGACCTTACGTATGAAGTTAAGCAGGGTCCTTACGACCCTGCTTAGACCCTGCTTACGAGCAGGTTGAAGGCATATGCGTGGCCTTCCTATTCCTCGATTCCATCTTATATATCTTGCCTGTAACGAAGAAATGTGTTAATTTTATTGACACCTAAAAGCACGACACTTCACTGAATTGTTTCTTGAATGCAAATGAACTTCCTCACGCCTTTTTTTCTTATTTGTGGTGGTTCCTAAATATACGCTTCTGTCCTACGCCTGTGTCGTGATGCAAAGACTGACGCGTTCTTTTAACCAGTGCAATGCGATACATTTACAGCTTGATCGTACTTGGTTCGTATTGAATGACTCGCGACGGTGCCCTATCCGTTATCATGCTCGACCGCTGATCCGAAGGTCGCGAAATCGAATCCCGACTGTTCGGCCGCATTTCTACGGGGGCGAAACGTTATGGGCCCGTGTACTTGAATTTCATCAATCATCATCCTGTCTACGCCCACTGCAGGACGAAGGCATCTCCCACGTTCCACCAGTCAACTCGGTCCTGTGCTTGCAGCTGCCACTTTATACCCGCAAACTTCCTAATATCTTCGGTCAACCTAACTTTCTGTCTCCCCCTAACCCATTTGAATCCTCTGAAAATCCAGTCATTCCCCTAATGACCAGAGGTTATCCTGCCTACGCACTACGTGCGCAGCCCAAGTCCAGTTCTTCTTATTCATGGAATGAAAAAAACTTTATTTCAGTCCTGCAGGACGAGCTTAGCGCGTAGCGGGCGTTTCCCACGTAGGGACCGACAGGGAGCACCTGGCGGCTGCTTCGTGGGACTGCTGGACGGCCCATTGCTGGTCGGCGAGAAGTGAGCTCCTGAGGGACCTCTCCCACTTGCTTGAGATTCATATCAACTATGATATCCTTAATCTCGTTTTGTTACCTGATCCACTCAGCTCTTTTTTTTTCTCAAGGTTACACCTATCATTTTCTTTTCTATCACTCGCTGCGTCGCCGTCAATTTAAGCTAAACCCTCTTTGTAAGCCTCCATAGGTAAGTGTCGGCAAGATGCAGCTGTTATATACTTTCCTCTTGAGGGATAGTGGCAATCTACCTGTCATGATATGAGAGTGCTTGCCAAATGTGCTCCACCCCATTCTTATTCTTCGAGTTACATCAATCTCGTGGCTCGGCTCCGCAGTTAGTATCTGTCGTAAGCAGGCGTGCTCTTTTACAGCTTCCAGTGCACTGCTACTTATCTCGAAGGGCTGTTCTCTTCCGAGGTTGTTGCGCATTACTTTCATTTTCTGCAGATTGATTTTAACTCAGCTCTCCTTGTCTAATTCAGCAATCATGAACTGCAATTCGTCCACTGGGTAACTCGGCAATGCACTGTCATAGACAAAGCGCAGGTTGCTTAGGTATACTCTCCATTAAATCTTATCCCCAAGTCTTCCCATTCTGGGCCTAGGAAAACCTCCTGTAAGCATGCGGCGAATAGCATTGGGGAAATAGTGTCTTACATGGCACGTAAGGTGTTGCATTGCTACGCTCATGGGTGTAGGTTTCATCCCCAGCCAAAGAGGTCGCACTTTGATGGGGGCGGAATTCAAAGAACAATCGTGTACTTTTATTTAGGTCCACTTTTAAGAGCCCGAGTCGGTCGAACGTAATTTTGAGTCGCATACCACGACGTGCTTAATAGTCAGATCGTGGTTTTGACAGATAAAATCCCAGCAGCTGTTATTATCAGCCTTCATTGCGAGCGAAGCACATGATCTGACCTTC